TACTTAAAGTGGGCTTCAACTACATATAATAGGGTCTTTTTTGGATACATTCTAATAATTGCTGTCTTTTAATGGGAGTAATTAGACCAGTGGCATTTGTAGTGATTATTGATGTAGTTGGGCTCCCATATAGACCTACATTTGTTAGTCTCCTACTTGCTGTTTATATTTGTGTCTTCTGCTCTTTTTATGTCTTTTGATTTTTAATTAATTGAGAATTTTATATGATTCCATTTTTTCTTTCTTAGTGTATCAATTATCTTTTTTAAAAAACCTTTTTAGTGGTTGCCTTAAAATTTGCACTGAGTATTTACAGCTAATTCAAATAATACTATATTACTTCATGGGAATTGCAAGTACCTTTTAATAACCAAGCATCCCTAACTTCTCCCTCCTGTCCATGATCAGTGTATTATTGTGTCATTCACTTCAAATATATGAAAGGCATAATCACCAAATACATTGCTGTTGCTACTATTTTGAGCAAGCTCTTATCTGTTAGATCAATTAAAGAATAAGAAAAATAAAAGTCTTAATTTTAACTTCACTTATTCCCTCTTTATTGTTCTTGTATTAACAGTATTTTCTTATGTTCTATATTCCTTTTTGTTAAATTGAAATATAGCTGATTTACAATGTTGTGTTAATTTCAAGTGTATATCAAAGTGATTCAGATATATGTATTTGTGTATATATATATATCCTTTTCTTTCAACTTCTCTTCCCTTATAGGTTATAAACAATATTGAGTATAGTTTAATGTGCCATTCAGTAGGTCCTTGTTAGTTATTGATTTTATTTATAATTTTTTATATTTTATATAAATTATTTATTTATTTATTTATTTTATTTATTTTTTTTTTGCAATGGGAGCACACATTTATCAAACAAGCCAGAATGCCAGCAAAAGTGTTTGAATTGAAACATTTCCTTCATCCCTGGCTCCTTCATAGGGTACCAGCGTCCAGGAGATTTATTAATTAGGGTTTTAAGTTGGTCCTCATTCAGTGAAAGAGGAGCAGGAGAGATCTCGGCAGGCAACACAAGAATTTTTAAAATAAATTATTTATATATTTAAGTTTGATTCTAAAAATTCAGTAGTGTGTACTGTATTCTTGATGCTCGGGCTTCTGAAAGCTTGCTGACCCAAGGAGGGACTGCCCTTCCCCAGGATTAACTAATTCCTAGAAATAGTAGGACTTGCCTGCTAACACTCCTTGGAGTAGAAACCAATAAATCCTGAGTCCACACCCTCTCCTGCCTCCGCTTGTTGGGCTCTTGAACTCTGGGGCACTACTCACCTTTCCTTGCCGCCCCGGTAACATGTACTTGGCAACTAAGGACCACCCCTACAATGCAGACCCCACTGAGATTTCTCAGACTATTCACTTCTAAGTCTGTGTAGCTTGCCACACCTTGCCTTGTCCATTGCCTCCCAGGAAAACCAGGATGAGGCTCCTCCCCGCCTCTTTCTGCCTGCTCCTGTCTCCTCAGGACTTCCCTCTGTGGCCCTGCATGGCGCATCTTGCCTCTTGTTTCTAAGGGGCTGTGAGTACAATAAAAACGTCTTCCTTTTTAACAATCATCTGTGTCTGTGCATCTTTCTGTGTCTGATGAAAACATAATTTGTGTCTTTATGGAGATCCAAATTGCTGACCTATATTATTTTCCTTCTCTCTGAGAGCTTCTTTGAACATTTCTTGCAAAATGTTCTTTTGCAAGAACATCAGGTCTGCTAGTAACAAATTCTCTCATTTTTTTTTCTTTGTTTGAGAAAGTCTTTATTTCTCTGTCAGCTCTTGAAGATGGTTTCACAGGTTGCAAAATTCCAGGTTTGTGGGTCTTTTTCTCTTGACACTTAAGATAGTCCACTCCTGGGACTTCCCTGGTGGTCCAATGGTTAAAAATTTCCCTTCCAATGCAGGAGACACGGGTTGAATCCCTGGTTGGGGAAATAAGATCCCACATGCTGTGGGGAGACCAAGTCTGTGCACCCGTTACTCAGACTGCACTCTAGAGCCCATGCTCCAAAACAAGAGAAGCCTGTGTGCCTCAACAAAGAACCTGTATAATGCAGTGAAAATCCAGCACAGAAAAAAATAAAATGTAAAATAAATAAAACAGTCTGTGCCAACCTCCTTTTGTTTGTGTGATTGCTGAGAAGTCAGATGTAATTTTTGCTCCTCTATAGATAATGTGTTTGTTTTTCTATTTGTTTGTTTTGGGCAGTTATCCTTTTTATGTTGTTTGAGCTTCCTGGATCTGTAGTTTGGTGTCTGACATTAACTTGCAGGAAATTCTCAATCATTACTGTTTCAAATACTTCTTCTCCTGCTGATATTTCCACTACACATATATTATACTTTTAATAGTTGTCCCCTAGTTCTTACATGTAACGTTCCATTTTTTCTTTGCTTTTCCATTTTGGAAGTTTCTATTGATAAATCCTCAAACTCAGAGATTCTTTCCTTAGCTTAAGTCCAGTCTACTAATGAGTCCATCAAAGACATTCTTCACTTCTCTTACAGAGTTTCTACTGTCTTGAATTTGTTGCTTTCATCACCCGTCTGTTCTTGCATGCTGTCTACTTTTTTCATTAGAGCCATTAGCATATTAATAATTTTTGTTTTCAAAGAGTTCTCCTATGAGTATAATTTTTTAAAAAAGATATACAATAACAAGTGTTGGTGAGAATGTGGAGAAATTGGGACCTTTATATCTGCTGGTAGGAGTGTAAAATGAGGCAGCCACTTTGGAAAGCAATTTGGAAGTTTCTAAAAGTGTTAGACATAAAGCTAGCATAAGATCAAAAATTCTTCTAGGTGTCAACCAAAAGAAATGAAAAAGTATATCCACATAAAAATTTGTACCTGAATATGCATAGCAGCATTATTCATAATAGCCAGAAGTAGGACAATCCAAATATCCAACAACTGGTGAATAGATTGTTTATATGTTGTATATCTATACAGTAGAATATTGTTTTTCAGTCGCTAAGTCATGTACGATTCTTTGCAACCCCATGAACTGCAGCACTCCAGGCTTCCCTATCCTTCATTATCTCCTGGAGTTTGCTCAAACTCAAGTCCATTGAGTCGGTGATGACTTTCAGCCATCTCATGCTACTCAAACATAAAAAGAATGTCACAACATGGATAAATCTTGAAAGCGTTATGTTAAAGAATCCAAACACAAAAGGCCACATGTTATATGGTTCCATTTATATTAATGTCTAGAATGGGTAAATCCATTTAGAAGAAAGCAGATCACTGGTTACCAGGAACTTTGGGAAGGGGAGAATTAGTAACTGCTGATGGGTATGGGGTGTCATATTTGTGTCATTAAAATGTTCTGGAATTACTGATAATTGATGCAAATCCTGCTAATAAACTGAAACACATTGAATTGTCCACTTTAAAGGGCAAATTGTGTAGAATGTGAATTATATCTTAAAAATAAAATTGATTAATAAGTAAAGTATAGGATATGTTAGAATATGATGACTATAGATTTGAAAGTCATTGATGACATGATTCAGCTACTAACTACCAGGGAGCCTCTATTTCGTTTTTGGCAAAATAAGGGTTTAGTCTAAATGATCTATAGGGTGGCTTCCAAATCTAGTTTCCAGTGATTCCCTCAATCTTCCTGCATGATTAGCAATTTCAAAATAACTGCTGAAAGGTCAACTCTGGAATAAAATACAGCCCTTATACTTTAGGTATTTCATTAAAGGCATCTCTATTCTTGAGTATTGGTTATTTTATGTATTTCTCTATTAATCAAAACAACAACTTTGACTTGGTGGCATTTCTGTAAGATTATAATTTCCCGTGAAGAATATTTCTAATTGATTGTGAGCTCATGAAGAGAAATGCTGAAGTTAAAGTAATTTACAAAATTGGGTATAACCACAAATGACAGAACAATTTTCACAGGGGATTAATGAAGAAAGAAATGTGGGTAGCTGTTGGATTTTTGATCCAAGTTGTAAACATATACAATGGTTATTGCTGACATGAAAATAGATAATCAAGAATAGTGACTTCATAAATTCCGTGAGTTCATAGATTTTGCATAAAGCTTATAGAACTGTGGTTAACGTTTGGGCTCCACGATCACCTATCTGGGTTAGGATGCTGGGTTCACCACTTATCAATACCAAGCCACCTGTGCCTGTGTCCTTACCTGTCGCGTGTTATAGTAGGTGTACCTCAGTAAGATGGTTGGGAGGAGTAAATAATATGATGCTTAAAGAGCACTAAGAAAAATATCTGAGCCACGGTAAGGACACAGCAAACATTAGCGTTATCTATTTTCAGCGAATGGGCTACTCTGGGGGCCCAGATGGTAGAGACTCTTCCTGCAGCGCAGGAGACGCAGGTCGATCCGTGGGTTGGGGAAATCCCCTGGAGAAGTTAATGGCAACTCACTCCAGTATTCTTGCCTGGAGAATCTCATGGACAGAGGAGCCCTGTGGGCTACAGTCCATGGGGTCGCAAAGAGTTGGACCCAACTGAGCAGATGCATACACACAGAGGCATTTTCAACAAACACTCAAACACTCGATGAATGCTTTCCTCGTCATTCAGACGGTAAAGAATCTGCCTGCAATGGAGACTTGGAATCTGCCTGCCAGTGCAGAAGACAAGAGACTCGGGTTCGATCCCTGGGTTGGGAAGATCCCCTGGAGGAGGAAATGGCAACCCAGTCCAGGATTCTTGCCTGGGAAATTCCACGGACAGAGGAGCATGGCAGGCTACAGTTCATGGGGCCGCAAAAAGTCAGATACGACTGAGCAGCTAACACTTTCCACTTGATGAGTGTTTTAAACTCACCTGACATTGCTTTGACAAATACAGTATTTACAGTATATTGTGTTCTAACTCAACTTTCTCAGTAGTTATTTCTTGTTTAACAACGAGATTTTTCATAAGGTGAACAACATGCTTTTTTTTTTTTTTTTAACAGAATAAAAGCAAGAAAACTTCACTAACAAGATGAAGATCCTGCTAATTATATTTGTTCCGATCTTCTGGACTGAAACCCTGACACATCAGAGCCCAGGTACCAATATATTTTATGTTTATTATTATTAGGAAACTAAATATTTTTGTGTCTCAACAAATCTTTATTTTAATTAATAGAAACAAGAGATGTATTTCTTTACTGAAAAATCGAAGTAGACAGAATTTATTTGTAGTTGGTGATATACAATGTCAAGCGTACTCAAGCTTTCAAAGATGACAGAAAGCTAGATGCAAAATCATGAATTATGGTATACCTGGCCAGAAAAACTTCAATTATTCACTGATTTTCTGAAGTCCTGATGTTCTGTGTCTCTATGAATAGAGTCAGCCCATTTGTTTTGTAGGTCAGTTTGCAACTTGGCTTTAATAAATGAAAGAAAAGGGAAAAAAAGGAACCCCACAGAGGAAATTATATGTATATAATAATTAATAGAAAAGCTTTCATATTCCATATATATGTAGAATATGAAAGCTAGATTTTTTTGTATTTATAAAAACATCACTCAAAGAAATATTTTTAACTCTGCATGTGCTACCCTCAGATTTCCTGATATCAGGGTCACTTTTTAAGAAATATCCTGCTTAGTTAAACATTTACGAGCAGATCACTAATTGGGAGGATGGAGGTGGCTGACCATTTCTGCTAAAGTCAACACTGGTGTTTTTTTCCATCATCCAGACGCTCTTTATGAGGTACGCATATATTCCCCCACCCCTAGTTGCTGTGAATATTGCTTACAGTGGCTCACAGCAGTACCTCGCTTTCTCAGGAGAATTGCCTTTGGCTTTCCCAGAGCCACCTTACCCAGGAGGTTATGCCTGTAACCCTCCGATCCTTCTCTCCGATTCTTGGAGAAGGTCTGTAGCTGATAACTGACTGTTGTTAGTCACTAAATCATGTCCATCTATTTTGTGGCCCCATGGACCACAGCCAGCCAGGCTCCTCTGTTCATTCAGTACTTTCCTAGGCGACCATACTGGGGTTGGTTGCTATTTCCTTCTCCAAGGGATCTTCCCAAACCAGGGAACGAACCTGTTTCCTGGACTGACAAGCAGATTCTTTACCACTAAGCAGATAAGGAAACTGTTTTCTACATTGGCAGGTGGATTCTTTACCACTAAGCCATCCCTCTTGAGCCAAAGAGGGATGCTCTGGTGTAAAGGATGCACCAGAGTCTCCTCAAATCAAGCCACACCCTGCTTCTCTTCCTCTGCCTCCCCTCAATCAAAAGCTCCTGTTTCAGATCTGCCTCTATGATCTCCAGCCCAAGATGGCTGCTTCTCTGCTTGATACTGTTGTAAAAGTTGCTTTTAATCCACAGGCTACTTGGCGACTTTCTGGTATCACATTGTTTATTCTTTTAGTACAATATCAAGTTGTTTGGGGTTCCAAAAAGCCAAAAAGCAACAATAAGAAAAATGTCAGTTGGTTGCCTTTGGCACAGAGTTGAGAAAGAAAAATCTGTTGTTAACATTACAGAAGTTCTCTTGTCTGACATTTTAACATAAACAAGTACAGTTTCCTCTGTTTGACCTCCAGAAGACTCTTTCCTCGGGATTCTGAGTTACCCTTAACACTAGGACATAATCTCAAAGGAGATGTGGTTAAAAAACCAAGGCTAAACCATCACCTCATTTGGGTTTGTGTCATCTTATTTTGATAGGGCCAGGCCCGGAGTATGCTGATGTGGTGTTTCTGGTGGACAGCTCCGACCGCCTGGGAATTAAGTCCTTCCCGTCTGTGAAGGCCTTCATCAACAAGATGATCAACAACCTCCCCATAGAGGCTGACAAGTACCACGTGGGCCTGGCCCAGTACAGCGACAGGCTCCACAGAGAGTTCCTGCTCAGAGCCTTCAAGAGCAGGGGCCCCATGTTGAATCACATCAAGAAGAACTTCGAGTTCCTGGGGGGCTCCCTGCGGATTGGGAATGCTCTCCAGGAGGTCCACAGGGCCTACTTCTCAAGTGGGAGGGACAAGAAACAGTTTCCCCCGATCCTGGTGGTCCTGGCTTCCGCTGAGTCCGAAGATGCTGTGGAAGAGGCCGCCGAAGCACTGCGCAAAGATGGGGTGAGGATCATCTCAGTGGGGATGCAGGGGGCGTCTGAGAAGACCCTGAAGGCCATGGCCACGGGCCAGTTCCACTACAGCCTCCGGACGGCCAGGGACCTCAGCACATTCTCCAGAAACATGATGCAGATTCTCAAAGATGCAGTTCAGTACAAAGATGGAGTAGCCCACTCTGATACAGAAGGTAAGGAGGTCCTTGGTTTAAGAGGTGTCCTACCCCCATGCACTCTGACCCAGAAAGCCATCTCCTATTATCTCTAGGATGCCACCCACAAGAAATCTCTATTTCATGCAGAAATGTAGAAGACCTCCTTCTCATCAACTTTCATTCCTGATCCCCTGAAGCTAAAAGGAGACTACCACAGCTTCTCATTTGAAAAATGCTTTATTTATGTCTTAGGAAAGTTCCCCATAAGACCCCCAAACAGAAGAGTTTTGAGTAAAAATATAGTTTACTTAGGAGGTAATCCTAGAAAGCCTTACCACAGAGAGGGTGACGTGAGACAGGAGGCCATGTATGCAATGTTGACGAGCAGGTGGAACAGGTCAGCACCCACATGGAAGGCACCCAGTAAGTATACTGCACTGCTGAGGGGGGTCCAACCATTCCATCCAGAGCGAGGGAGAAAGAGTTCCTAGCAAATGGATTTTCCTGGCTGCCTCTGTGCTCAGTTGATGATGAGAGGCTATTCTGAGTAGGTACTATCTAGTTCTAAGACTCAAGGAAGCCACTCGGTGTGGTCAAAAGTGCCCTCACTACAGGTCAAAAAGATCCAGACAATGGCGCTAGCTGGCTGTGAACTTGAGGAAGTAGAGTCGTCTCTTTCTCTGTGAGCCTTGCATCAGCACCCTCATTTGTAAGATATAAAAGTTGGAATGATCTTGAAAGTTTTTTCCTGCTCTCATTCACCAATTCCTTGGCTATCACTCTGGATTGATTTTGTAATCAGACCAGGCTATGCCTTCATAAAAAGTAGACTTCCTGAATAAGAAGTTTATTGCTTTCCCTTGTAACATTACAGGACTAGTGCTCTGGTTGACCAGTTGTTTTGCTTCTATTCAAATAATTGGGCTGGTGGTGGCTCTTCCATCTTCAAATATTACTTTCAAGGTGCCCTGGGAATTGGTATGAAGCTGGTGAAGGGGAAAAAGCGGGAAGGTCATTCACGGGATGATTTTATGGGCTCAGCTTGGAAGAGGCACACATTAGTTCTGCTCACATTTCTTTAGTAAGATCTTAGTCCAATGGCCACACCTAACTGCAGGTGAGGCTGGGAACTATGTCTAGTCTTGTGAGCAAGAAGAGGAAATGGGTTTGGGTAAGTATTGGGCAGCCTCTGTTCAGTTAGTGTTGCCTCTGAAGCACCAGGAAGTACTTTTACCTCCACTTTTCCCAGCCTTCATTCCTTCTGCCTTGGGGGAAATAGCAAGTTCTCAGAGCACATGTACTTCTCCTCCTAGAAGGACCCTCCTGTGACCCTTCCCTGGTGACTGAGACAGTAAAGAATCTGCCTGCAATGCGGGAGACCCGGGTTCAATCCCTGGGTTGGGAAGATCCCCTGGAGGCGGGTGTGGCAACCCACTCCAGTATTCTTGCCTGGAGACTCCCCATGGACAAGGGAAGCCAGCAGACTACCATCCATGGGGCCCCAAAAAGTCACATACAACTGAGTGACTAAGCACATGAATGAATGTGACCCTTCACCTTGGGAACCTTGGAGATCTTACAACCCTGTAGATAGCCTGAGGTCTCCATGACAGTAGGCTTTACCACCTTCTTAGAAGGCTCTGGGTACTGACCGTGTTTCTCTCACTCCTCCTGATTTATTTCACAGCACTATATGGTTGAACAAAGGTTGCTTGTCAGGACCCTATCCTTCCCTTTGAAAGTGAAAGTGTTAGTCACTCAGTGATGTCTGACTCTTTGCGACCCCATGGACTTAGTCCACAAGGCTCCTCTGTTCATGGAGTTCCCCAGGCAAGACTATTGGAGTGGATTGCCATTCCTTTCCTGATCCAGGGACTGAACCCAGGTCTTCCACATTGCAGGCAGATTCTTTACCACCTGAGCCACCAGGGAAGCCTAGAGTTTAAGAATAAGGGTTTTGGAATCTGAGTTCAAACCCTGGCTTGGCTGCTAAGGGCCTTGAGTAAGCTGCTTAACTTTTGAGCTCCAGTTTCCTTACCTATAAAGTGAGGATAATAGTGTTGGCCTTATGATATGAGTGATATGACTTGTATGGAGTTTGGCAAACAGTTTGTAATAGCTATTTGCAAATAAATGCTGAGCTGAGCAAGCCATGCTGAAAGTTTGTTTTAGCCAACCATGTGGGGGTTCAGAGTACATTAGTAGATTTATGAGACTTATAATTCCACAAATACTTCTGAGCTCCTACCAGGCACCAGGTACCGGAGAGATAGAGGTAAGTAAGATATGTCTTTTGGCTTCTAGAGCTCACTATCTTAGGGTAGCTTTTGGCAAGATTTGAGTTTATCTCTCAGCTGCACTTATCACAGTTGTGGTTACCCCATCTGTGCCTGGAGTGGGTATTTTCTGTGCGTGTGATATACTCTCCCCTGCATTCCAGATTTATACAGCCAACTGCTTACCTGGCATCTTCAACGGATCTCGAACTTAGCATGTCTGAAACAGAGCTCTTGACTTCTCCTTACAACCTGTTCTTCCCGCTATCTCCCCTATCTTGGAAAAAGACACAACCAACATCCTCTCACTTGTTCACATAGAGAACCTAGGCGTTTTCAACACTACTTTTTGTCTCCTACCATATATCTAATTTATCATCAAGTCCTACATTCTATCTCGAATTCATGTATCAAAACTACTCTTGTTGTTCTGTCTTATCTGCTTTATCTTTGCCCAAGAACCATTATCTATTTCCTGTATTAGGGCAGTTACTTTTAAGTAAATTTTAATGAGCTCATTGTCTCCCTTCAGGAACCAGAGTGATATTTAAAAGATGCGAATAGGATCATGTGAGTCCCGTACGAATGGACCTGGTTCCCTCTGACCTCATCAGTCATTGTTCCCCTCGATCATTGGCTCCAGCTACTCTGAGCTTCTTGCTTCTTTCTTCTTCTTGCCCTTCTTTCTGCCAGGATTATTCTTTTTTTTTCCCAAACAACATGCAGCTGAATCTTTCTCTTCGCCTTTCTCAACCTAAATGTGATCCTTTCAGAGAGGCCTTCCCTAACTTATTTATGTCTCAGATAATTTAGTTCTTACCCCACATCACCAACATAGGACAGCTCATTTGAGACACCTGTTTTATTTCCCTTGTTAGCATTTATTATGGTCTGGACTAATATAATCTATTTTTCTGTCTTCCCCATTGAGTAAGAACTCCCTGAGATCAGAGATATTTCCATGAACTCGTACCTATATCTCAGCATTTGAAAGTGGTGGTGGTGGTTGGTAGAGGTGGTGGTAGTCATACTGGTGGTGAAGTTGGTCATGAAGATCATGGTGATGGGACGTGATAGGAAAACTGGTAGGGTGAGTTCTTCAGATAGAGGAAGAGTGTTTCAAGGTCTCTGAAGTCATTGGCCAGTGTAAATTTTGCTCAGAATTTTTATTTATTTTTTTTCAGCAAAAAATTGCTACCTCTATATGTCATGACTCCGTCCATTTTCCCTAATGACGTCTGACAATCTATATGGCGGCTTTCTCACTCTGAGCCAGGGGTCTGTACTAACCTACCTGCCTTTTCTCTCTCCATAGTCCCCTTTTCCAGGGCCTGTAAGAAAGATTCAATTGCCGACCTCATGTTTCTGGTGGATGAGGCCGTTGGGACCACAGAGAATCTAGGGCTCCTGCAGAACTTCCTGAAGAACATCACCTCCTCCATGGATGTGCATAACAACTGCCTGCGGCTTGGACTCATGAGTTACAGTGACAGAGTCAAGACGTTTTCTCTTCTGAACTCGAGCACAACCCTGTCTGAATTTCAGGAGCAAATCCAGAAGCTCTCTCTGGGGGCTGGGAAATCCAATGCTGGAACTGCCCTTCAGCAGATGAGGAGGGAAGGCTTCTCAGCATCACATGGCAGCAGACGGGCCCAAGGAGTGCCCCAAATAGCGGTCCTGGTTACTAACAGGCCGGTGGATGACAATGTGCGGGAGGTGGCCCTCGACCTCCGGCTGCAGGACGTAACTGTGCTTTCCGTGGGCATTGAAGGGGCCAACAAGACCCAGTTAGAAGAGATAGTGTCTTACCCTCCGGGACAGACCATCTCCATGCTACGGTCCTATGCAGACTTGCATAATTACAGTAAGAACTTCTTAAAAAAGCTCCAGAATGAAATATGGTCCCAAATTTCGACTCAGGCTGAACAAGTGGAACTTGATAAAACTGGTATGTTTTAAAAAATACTTTTCATGTTATAAAAGTAATAGGAGCAGTTGTCAAGGGTGGGAGCAGGGTCAGGCTCAAGGACTTGCTGTAATTGGGTATAGGAATTTCGGGAGTTATGAAAATATTCTAAAGCTAGATTTTGGTGATGGTTTCTCTTTATAAATTTTCAAACCTTATGACTTTCCTAAATGCTATTAAATGATTGCAATGGATGTTTTAAGCATGTAAGTCATAACAGGAATAAAATATAAAAATGGTAATTGTAAAATAGTTTAATAGTGTTGATGAACATTAAAAAAAATCTCTTGTAGTCTTATCTTTCAGATAAAGCCATTCTTAACATTTCTCTTATCTTTTAGTCTCTTCTCTCTCTCTACACTCATGGACACACAAACACATGCATACACATTTTAAAAAAATGATGTAACGTGGGTATCAGTGCTGTTGAAAAGAACTTTATGTAATGATGGAAATGTTCTTTGTCTTCACTGTTCAGTAAGGCAGCCACTAGCCAACTTTGGCTATTGAGCACTTGGAATGTGGTTAGTGGAACTGAAGAACTGAGTTTTAAGTTTAATTTAGTTTTAATTTATTTTTATTTTAACAGCCACATGCTGGTGGCTGGCATATTGGACAATGCAGGAACACACTGTTGGGTACTTGTTGTATCATTGACAATTACCTCTGAGTGTGACTAACAAAAGGAAAAAAAACCCAATGATTTAGATATGATAAAACTATTTTCTGTTTCACAAATAAGTCCTAAGGTAGGTATAAGGAGCTGAATGGTACACAAGTGTCAGTGTCTAAGCTATTTTCTTGTTTGTGGTCTCTATTCCCAGTATCATAATCCAAGATAACTGCTCCTGGCATTACATTCACATCCAGCAACTAAAATGATAAAATAGGAGGAAAAGTGAGGCTTCCCCCTCCTTTTCTTCAAAGTTATTCCCAGGAATTACACTTGCCATCTTTGCTTACATCCCATTGGCCAGAACTTAGTCACATATCACTCCTCATTAATGTAATCTTTCCTTGAGGCAGCCAAGTACCTCAGCAAATTAGTGGGGCCTAAATTAGTTTAGAAGAGAGAATGGATGTTAGGGATAACCAGGATGATATGCCTTACTCCCTTCTCTATCAACCTTATACCATGAACTTTTGTCCACCTCTTTAATGTTCATTGACAATATTCTTTTTAGGTTGGAAGTAATATTCCATCCTCTGGGTATAACAGAATTTGTTTGATATAGCCTAAATTATTGGATATAGAGGTTGTTGTCAGTATTCTGCTCTTATGAAGATCTTAGCAGGGATCATCATTGTACTTATATCTTTATCCATGACTGAATCTGCTATAGCCTTACCAAGTTCTTTTCAAAGGTGCCAGGACACACAGACAAAAGATACTCGATGTGGCTTTGAGTTTATCTACTTCTGAGCTATCTGCTGTCTTTACACATTTCCCTGCAATAAAATGCTTTCAAACAATTGGATTCAAATTTGGCAGTACCCACCTGGAAAAGAATCCTCCAACCACATTAAAGGTTAATTTTAAACTCACATTAGTCAACTGAAAGTGTAAGCACGCAGTCCTGGGCCAGCCCTCACTTTCCTCTTGCATATATACATTACACGGCAGCAGCAAAGAGCCAGTATCCTGTTACCTCCTGCATGATGCAAACAGCAGTCCTTCAGAGTGGCAGCTGATTTGTTGTAGTATAAAGTTTAAGGCAGAGGGGGATGTGTAGTGTGGTTTGTCTCAGAGAGTTTGCAATTACGTGACAAAAACTATTGTTGCCATTATAGAATTTCTAAATGGGAAGAAATGGGACCAGGGCTAGGACAAGGGTATCCTTATCTTCCATAAAGCCTCAGTAAGTGGCTTCGCATTCATTCAGTGGCTCTCAAATACTGGTACCTGACTTAGGTTGGATTCCTCAGATGTAGATGTACGATAAGGATTCATGTAAAATTAATGTATTAAAAATATACCCAGGAAAACTGGATATCGGTAGGGAAGTGAGCATATGGGACCAGGAATGGCAGGATGATAAGCAAAGTCCCATGGAGGGCCAATTCCACTGAACCATTCTAGAGACAGTGTGGGTTAAAGCTTAGAGTTGTCCTACTCAGGGGGCAATGTAACCAAAGGATTTATATTCCAGCACACAGGAGGAAATATTCATTTCCAGACACTTCTGGCTCAAGTGAAAAGCAAAAAGGTTTTCAACAACCTGAGCAGCCACCCACCCCTAGACACTGGTGCTAACTGTTGGAATGAAAGTACTAGGAACTGGTTATACAAAAATGGTAAAGGATTTGAGGGCATATAGATGGAGCACCCACAGTGTCTACTATAAGTTTATCAGGGCTTCCTGAGGAGATTGTTAATAATTCAGTGGCCCAATCCAATGACCAGTGTCTGAAGGTAGGGCAGGCATTTTAGAAAGCTCTCCAACGAACTCACACTAGCAATAGCTGAGAACCACTGCCTCAGTGAATTTGCCATGGTCTGCAGTGAGAGAGCCAGATTTGCAGTTTCAAAATGGTCAAACACAGACAACCCATCTCGACTGACTTAGTCACTGCTGTGTCCACCACCTCCGATACTACTGTTATCAATTTATTTAATAGAACTTCATTAAAGGAAGGAAAATCTTACATTAGCCAATCCAGGAGACTGATGGATAAGAAAAGGTTGATGATTATCTTTGTAATGGAACTAGAGTGCCAGGGACCTGGACACTGAAGACCACATTCCTCTGAGAAATACAGTCTTTCCCTGTAGACATATATACAAGTGGGAAGCTAGACTGTAAGCAAAAGATTGCTGGAGGATGTGGAATCAGAGCAAAGGAGTTAGTTTTATGGCTTAAATGTCTTGTGGTTAGTCAGGGGAATGATTCTATTTTAAAGCCCAATATATAGATCTATATATCTAGATAACTGTGCAGGTGAGACCTTGCCCCAGGGGACACATTTTCCTTCAACCCTGTCCAACTGAACTTTTTAGATGGATATATTCTATAGTTATACTGTCCCATGTAATAGCCACATGGAACTGTTAAGCACCTGAAAAGTGGCTTTTGCAACTGAAGAGATGACTTTTAAATTTTATTTAATTTTAAGCAGTTTAAGTTCACATTTTAATAGAAACATGTGACTAGTGGCTGGTGTATTAGACTGGCACAGCTCCAGGATGGGATGGATGGGCATTGCCATGGTTACCCCCTGGGACTTGAATTTTTTTCTTCCTCACTACTGACCACCATTTTTCTTTATTAGATATATAAATCAATTCATTCTGGTCTCTATCACGTGTTTTTGTCTGGGGATCAAACTTGTCTTTTGCAGATAACTGCTTCAGTTCAGTTCAGTTCAGTTCAGTCGCTCAGTCGTGTCCGACTCTTTGCGACCCCATGAATCGCAGCACGCCAGTCCTCCCTGTCCATCACACACTCCCGGAGTTTACTCAAACTTATGCCCATCGAGTCAGTGATGCCATCCAGCCATCTCATCCTCTGTTGTCCCCTTCTCCTCCTGACCCCAATCCCTCCCAGCATCACAGTCTTTTCCAACGAGTCAACTCTTCGCATGAGGTGGCCAAAGTATTGGAGTTTCAGCTTCAGCATTACTTTTGCCCTAATACTTTATATGTTGACTTCATAGTTTAATTCTCAAATTTATTTTCAGTGTTTCTGATTTCTTAAGAGCCAACTCCCCATAGCCTGAAGTAGTGTCAACAGCTATAAGTTACCAACAAGCTATCAAGAAAGAAAATATTTCTGAAATGACTAAATTGTCTTGTATTTTAGAGACCTTTTCATATACTCAACCAGGTAACTGTGCATATAACCTAAATTTAAAGGTATATTTTTTCTTCTACCCAATTAAAAAAATGGCTAAGTAGAGTAGTAAAGAGACTATTAGGAAAGCTAAAGCACTTTTTGACAGAGAATCTGCTCAACAAAGGAAAAATATTGAGAGCTCTTTCATTTACAATTTTCTGTTGAAATCTTGTGATGTACCAGGCCTCAGCTGGGCAGAAGCAGAAAACTAGGCAAAGTCTCTGCCTTCATGGAGCTGACACTCTGTGTCAGGAAACAGGCTGTGGTCATGAACAAATTAATAAAGTAATTTCAGGAAGTAATGCGTATCATAAAGAAAGTAGACAGGGTAATAGGATAGATAATGATTGATGTGCTTTAGCTGGAAGGGAAGAGAAGGGCTTCTAAAGAACCTAGAACATTTGAGTTGACACATCCATGAGATGAGAAGGAACCAGCCATGTTAAGATTTGGGGGGAAGAATATTTCAGGAAAGAGGGCAGGCACAAAACTACAGGAGGAAGCTCAGTGTTGTTGAAACACAGTGAGGAAGATAAAGAATCGCTAATTCCCTTGTGGTTCGGCTGGTAAAGAATCCACCTGCAATGCAGGAAACCAGGGTTTGATCCCTGGGTTGGGAAGATCCCCTGGAGAAAGGAAAGGCTACCCACTCCAGTATTCTGACCTAGAGAGTTCCAAGGACTGTATAGTCCATGGCGTTGCAAAGAGTCATATACAACCAAGCAACTTTCACTCACTTAGTCAGAAATAGGATGAGAAAGACAAGGAGGAAAGGTTAGTGTTATTTTTCGTTTTAAAATTCTGACTACAGTGATAAATCATTTAAGTAGAAGAGTAATACGGTCCGGTTCTAGTTTTAAATATATTATTCTAGTGGCTCCAGGTAGAAGAGGTTATTGGGAAAGTTAGAAAGTTGTCTGAACCTATTTCTCAAAGGAATGATAAGGCATAAACTACAAATGCAGACAGGTGTCAATACCAGAAAATCAATCTTAAAAAGCCTGGAGGTTTGGGAATCTGGTCCGTAGTCTTTAATTCACTGCGTGACCTCGGTGACCAGGCCTCACTCAGTTTCAATTTCCTCACAAGGTGGTGGTAAGTTTCGCAGGAGAAAACGGATCTGAATGTGCTCAGTGAAATGTCCAGGCCTCAGCTGAAGTGTACTCATTCTTCAGAAGCTGTTACCGAATCCAAACTCACTCTGTTCTTGATACACAATAGGCCAGTAAATCTGAGATATGAGGTGTTAAGGTAAGGAATAACAACTTTGTTTGGAAAGTCAGCAGACTGAGAAGATGGCAGACTAATGTCTCAAAATAATCATCTTATGAGGCCTGGATGTCATGTTCTTTTATAGAGCACAAAAGGGGAGGAGATGAGGAAGTAAAAAGATCATACATTTTGCAAGCACCTCCTGGAAAGGCCAGCCTCAGGGATGGGGGTGTTACTTTCTTCTTTTTGCAATCCTTCACAGGTGGACAGAATCAGAATGTTTCCCTGAACAAAGGCACTTTAGCTTTCCATTCAGGCAGGGTGGCAGAGTTCCCAAGGCAAGCTGTTATGTATAGGCAGTATTCTTTCAGTGAACAAAAGCAGCAGGAAGCAAAGGCTAAAGTAAAAGAAACAGACCCAACATGTAGTCAGATTTTGCTCTTCCCTGTAACAGCTTCACAGCCTCAGGCTCCTCTCCAAATCCTCCTGCAAAGTTCTCTCCAGGTTCTCTACAATTAACAGAGGATGTACCTTCTGTTTTCAATTTTTCTGCAGGCTGTGTGGACACAAAGGAGGCTGATCTCTATTTCCTCATCGATGGCTCAGGAAGCATTCAGGTAAAACACTTTGAGCAAATCAAGGAATTCATGTTGGCGGTGATAGGGATGTTCAGCATTGGTCCAGACAAAGTTCGAGTCGGAGCTGTGCAGTATTCCGATGAGAAGAAAGTGGAGTTTGATATCAATGACTACCTTAATGATGTGAAATTAAGAAAGGCTGTTTCTAACATCAAGCAACTTGGCGGCGGAACTCTTACTGGGGCAGCCCTGGATTTCATGCTGCCACTGATGAAGAAGGGAAGGAAGCAGCGGACAAATGAGGTACCCTGTCATCTCATTGTGTTGACCGATGGGCTATCTGAAGATGCTGTCCTGGAACCTGCTGAGAGAGTAAGGGCTGAAAATGTCACCATCCATGCGATTGGTATTGGGAAGGCTAACAGAACACAACTGAAACAAATTGCTAGGGAAGAGGAAAGAGTTAACTTTGGGCAGAACTTTGATGCTTTAAAAGGCATCAAAAATGAAGTCGTTCACAGCATCTGCACTGAGAAAGGTAAGCAAAACAAAAAGGCTTTATTATCTGTACTTTCTTAGTTGTTTCAGGGGCACTAATAAGCCAAGTAGACGAGTGATGTGACCATTTGTCTGGCTGACATTTTGCTGAAGGGGTTCGGCTCCTGACTTTAAGCCAATTGCCAAGGAGGGAGAATCCCTCTGTAGACAGCTGCCCCGAGGCCATCTTGAAAGCTGTAGGTGAGAAGGTTGCTAAGGATGCTGTTGCCTTAACCAAGCCTACTGCCGTGGAGGTGAAAGTGTTAGTCACTCACGTGTCCGACTCTTTGCGACCCCATGGACCGTAGCCCGCCAGGCTCCTCCGTCCGTGGAATTCTCCAAGCAAGAATACTGGAGTGGGTTGCCATTCCCTTCTTCAGGGGACCTTCCTGACCCAGGGATTGAAGCCAAGTATTCTGCTTTGCATGCAGATTCTTTTACCCTCTGAGTTACAAGGAAAGCCCTGTGTGTGTGTGTGTGTGTGTGTGTGTGAGACACACTAATGGAGGCAGATGGGAACAGTGGAAAGAAAATGGGCTCTGGTTTTTAGGGGGTTAGGATTCGACTCATGTCATTACTTGAAACTTGTACTTGCCCATCTGTAAAATTAGGACAGCACCTACATCAGAATATCCTTACAGTAAACACAAACTGTTATTTCTTTATTATGAAAGCGTACCTAGTACATATGTAACCCCGGTTTATTTTTATTCATAATGCAAACAACATACTTGCATTTTTGTTCTGACTAAAAATTAAGTAACCGAAGTTAGGAAGAACAATGTGAAAATTCCTGCTGTGGACCTTGAATGGGTTACTTACTGTCTACCTGGCTTGGTCCTGTATGTGCAGGCTTATTATGAAGCTTAAAGGAAATAATGCATGTGGAGCATTTAGAAGAGGGCTTAGCCCATGGTAAGTGCTACATAAAATGTGATTATTATAAAAGTTGGTCAAGGTGTTCATCGGTATGGAAAAGAAAAGAATTCTCGCTTTACTCGAACTTACAAAAGTGAAACTGTGTTGGAATTTTCTCTGAGTCATTAAAATCCAAAGAAAAATAAGCCAGCAAATAAGTAACATTGACAGTAAAATCCTAAATCATAACTTTATTGACCTTTTTCATCCCGTTATGGACAGGAGTAAAGTTGGGTCTTCAGGATGTCTTAGAAACAGTATGAATACAAGTTCCTTTATGTTTCCTGCAGTTGATGCCAAGGAAAGTAAAAAGATTTCAGGAGAAATAAAATAGACTGTATTTGAGGTCTTTTCAAAGGCAGGGACCAGTCTGAGGAGGGACAGGATATTTATTATTGGTAAAGTAGCTGCAGTCCTTGTGCCCAAACCACAGCATACCTGAGGGAAGAGACACTGTGGACACAAGGAAAGGAGCCACAGATGGTGAACGGAGAGCCAGAAAGACCAAGACCCCAAAGCTGGATGGCCTAGGAAAAAACTGACTCCTCTTGGAGAGGACGTGGATGGAGCGAGGCCCAGGGTGTCCATGCACGGGCAGGGTAAGAGGCTCTAGCAAAAAGGCCCCATCCCACACAACAGAGAGCGCTGCTTCTCTCTTGTGCAGTTGTCCAGGGTGAGCAGTCCAGTTCTATCAGAGAGGCAGGTCCACTCGCAACACATAGCAACTGTCTGTAGGCCAAAGATGGAGCTCACGCCGTCATCTTTGGCGTGTTCTGTGTGTGGAAACAGAGATGGGACCAGGGGCATCTCATCAGGCTCAACTGTTTTATTGTTCAGACCTAGAAGGGGTTAAATCACTCCTCCTCATAGCTACTAACAAATCCACAGTCCAGGGCCACATCTAGCTTCAAGGAAACCTGGGAAATGTAGTCTTTACCTGGGCGGCCATCTTCCTGGTTGAAATTCTCTTATTGACATAGAGGAATGGGAGATGAGGAGGTTCAGTTCAGTTCAGTAGCCCAGCTGTGTCCGATTCTTTGTGACCCCATGGATTGCAGCATGCCACGCCTCCTTGTCCATCAGCAACTCCTGGAGTTTACCCAAACTCATGTCCATTGAGTCGGTGATGCCATCCAACCATCTCATCCTCTGTCGTCCCCTTCTCTCCTGCCTTCAATCTTTCTCAGTATCAGGGTCTTTTCCAATGAGTCAATTCTTCGCATCAGGTGGCCAAAGTATTGGAGCTTCAGCTTCAGCATCAGTCCTTCCAATGAATATTCAGGACTGATTTCCTTTAGGATGGATGGGTTGGATCTCCTTGCAGTCCAAGGGACTCTCGAGAGTCTTTGCCAACATCACAGTTCAAAAGCATCAATTCTTCGGCCAACAAAGGTCCGTCTAGTCAAAGCTATGGTTTTTCGATGAGGAGGTGGATCCCGTGAATAGTGACTGCATGTAGAAATCTCCCCCTTTGACATGTTATTTGTGGAAGAGAGCATTCCACACTTCCCAGCACTGGGGATTTATCAAGACCCTCAAACATCTTTGGCAATTTCCCTATTCACAACTTTCAAAATGGCCCCAGGGCAGCATTGATCTCAAATGGTTTTAATCCCACTACTGGGCTTTATGTTGTTGTTTTTGTTGTTGTTTAGTCACTATGTCAGGTCCAACTCTTTTGCAACCTCATGGACTGTAGCCTGCCAGGCTCCTTTTGTCCATGGGATTTTCCAAGCAAGAATACTGGAGTAGGTTGCCATTTCTTTCTCCATAGGCTCTTCCTGACTCAGGGGATGAACCTACATCTTCTTCATTGGCAGGTGGGTTCATTAGTTCTGAGTCACCAAGGAAGTTCCGGTGGACCTCATATAAATTATTAAAAAATAGTAAACATTTGGAAATTTGCTGTGTGTCTCAGGGAACTCAAACACAGGCTCTGTATCAACCTAGAGGAGTGGGATGGGGAGAGAGATGGGAGGGCGTTTCAGAGGTAGGGATATATATATGCCAGTGGCTGATTCATGTGGAGGTTTGAAACAACAAAATTCTGTACAGCAATTATCCTTCAATTAAAAGTAAATAAATTCAAAAAAAGAAAAGAAAGGTAAAAAAAATAGTAGGCATTTTAAAATTCTTCTATGGTTGATGATAATTGGTCGTATACAAATAGTACGGGATAGATTCTGTAAGGACTGAGGAAGGGACTGGTAAGAGAATGGCAGTGATAACAAAAGAAAGGGTTAAGACTAAGGAGATACATGCTAAAGACAATATATTTACAATTTATGCTATATATATATATTATATTATATATATATATATGTACTATGGTGCATATGTGTGTATACATATGTAAATATATACACACACAAACATGGCTTCCCAGGTGGCTCAATGGTAAAGAATCTGTCTTCAATGCAAGAGATGCCAGAGATGTGGATTCGATCCTGGAGTCAGGAAGATCCCCTGGAGGAGGGCATGGCAAGCCATTCCAGGATTCTTGCCTGGAGAATCCCATGGACTGAGAAGCCTGTCAGGCTACAGTCCATACGGTCTCAAAGAGTCAGACAAGACTGAAGCAACTGAGCATGCACACATGCATACACATACACTCACACACACTCACACACACTCACACACACACACACTCACACACACACTCACACTCAGTCACACACACTCACACACACACTCACATGCTCACACACACTCACAAACTCACACACTCACACATACTCACACACACATACACACACACACACACTCACACACACATACACACTCACACACACACTCACACACACACACACACTCAGTCACACACACTCACACACACACTCACATGCTCACACACACTCACAAACTCACACACTCACACATACTCACACACACATACACACTCACATGCTCACACACACTCACACATGCACACAGTCACACACACTCACAGTCACACACACTCACACATACACACACACTCACACATACATACATACACACATACATACTCACACACACACTCACTCACACACACACTCACACATGCACACACTCACACACACACAGTCACACACACTCAGTCACACACACTCACACATGCACACACACTCTCACACACACACACACTCACACACACTCACATACTCACACACACTCACACATGCACACACTCACACACACACTCACACACACTCACAGTCACACACACTCACACATACACACACACTCACACACACACTCTCACACACACATACACACACACACACTCACATGCTCACACACACTCTCACACACACACTCACACATGCACACACACACAGTCACACACACTCACACACTCACAGTCACACACACACACTCACATGCTCACACAGTCACACACACAGTCACACACTCACACACACACACACTCTCACATGCTCACACACACTCATGCACACACTCACACACACAGTCACACACACTCACACTCACACACACTCATGCACGCACACACACACACTCTCACACACACTCACACTCTCACACAGACACACACACACACATGAATTAATAGCACTTTTTCATGGCTTATAGAAATTGATCTTCTATGTGTGTATATATGCACAGATATGTACAAGGTGGAAGTGAAAGTGTTAGTCACTCAGTCGTGACTGACTCTTTGTGACCCCATGGACTGTAGCCCACCAGGCTCCCCTGTCCATGGAATTTTCCAGGCAAGAATACTTGAGTAGATAGCTGTTCCCTTCTCCAGGTGATCTTCCAGACTCAGAAATCAAATCTGGGTCTCCTGCACTACAGGCAGATTCTTCATCCTCTGAGCCACCACATATATGCATATATATGCCCACTTCCAGTCCATGGGGTATCAACAGATTTTATGTATAAATAAAGTAATAGTCCCTGTTGAATGGATATGTGCTTACTAATGTATTTATTATCTCTAGTAAAAACTTTTCACCCCAATTTCTAATATTGGTATTTTTAATTGCTTTAATTTATCCCAGAAAGAATGCTATATAAAGGTTACTTAGAATTTTGTGCTTCAAGAATACACATAAAACCCTGAAATATTAGTCATATTAGTGCCAAACATTGATTACTTTTCTCTGACTTTCTTTGTTGATCACCACTGTATCCTTAACACTTGGCCTGATGCTCGCCATTTCATACACTTCAAGAATTATGAATTATGAATAAGTGCATAATGCATGCATGCATAAGTGAGTGAATGAATATATACTTTAGGAGTTGCATTTCTTCTTTGAAAAATTTTAGATAGTCATCAATGAATTTCTGATTTAGGGTTCTAGTCAACAGAATACTACAAAAGAAACAAAATTTTCAAATGCAGTGGCAGTTGCTTGAGTTAATTTTTGATATTTACTGATTAAAGTATTTATTTCTGCTTTACTGTCTCTTACATATTCTGATAACCATGCCAACCTGGTATGTTTCTGTTCTTTTTGATCACATGCAGGATGTGAAAACATGAAGGCCGACATCATGTTTCTGGTGGACAGTTCTGGCAGTATAGGACGTGAGAATTTTGAGAAAATGAAAATTTTCATGAAAAACCTGTTAGATAAGATTCAGATTGGTGGAGACAAAAGCCGAGTTGGTGTAGTTCAATTCAGTGATGTTAGTAAGGAAGAATTCCAGCTTGATAAATACTTCACACAGAAAGAACTTTCTGATGCAATAGACAGCATGGACCCCATCAGTGAGAGCACTTTGACTGGAAGCGCGATAACCTTTGTGGATCCATACTTCACTGAGGCCAAGGGGGGCCGTGCAATGGTGAAAAAGTTTCTGATCCTTATCACTGATGGAGAAGCCCAAGATGATGTGAGAGACCCCGCAAAAGCTCTTCGGGACAAGGGTGTGGTCATCTTCTCTGTGGGGGTATACGGGGCCAACAGGACTCAGCTGGAGGAGATCAGTGGGGATGGCAGCCTGATCTTCCACGTGGAGAACTTTGATGATCTAAAGGCAATAGAGAGTAAACTCATCTTCCGCGTGTGTGCTCTTCATGGTAAGTGACCCTCTTATCCTTCAGGACGCAAGGATGTGAGCTGTTGACTTTATAGTGGGGTGAATTAAAAGCTATGACCTCAGGGCTGAATCAGTTCAGTCGCTCAGCTGTGGCCGACTCTCTGCGACCCCATGGACTGCAGCATGCCAGGCCTCCCTGTCCATCACCAACTCCCAGAGTTTACTCAGACTCATGGGCTGTATACTTATGTGAAATACCCAGGGATATTCCAGAATAACAGTTTTGTCTGCTAATTTGGCAACATATAGTCTGATTTTGATAGCCTCAAATAGATATACCAAGAGAATACTGGAGTGGGTTATCATGTCCTTCTTTAGGGGATCTTCCCAGCCCAGGAATCAAACCTGCGGCTCCTGCCGCTTCTCCTGCATTGCAGGCAGATTCTTTACCACTGAGCCACCAGGAAGCCACATATACCAAGGAGGTCTCAGAATTTTACATTAAATTTCCAGCTTTTTAATACCTGCATACCTAGATTTTCCAATCAATTTTTAATCCCAAATGATTCTCCCACAGTTTTTCTTGGCTATGTATAACCATTGTTAAGTATGTATATGTAAGATGTGTAATTAGAAATAGTCATCTTCCTCTTAGTTAAATTAAGTTCCCTATCCAAAGCACAACTCTGCACCTTCTTTGTATTTTAAAGATACAGTGTATTTTTATCCATTTATTACTTACATTATTCTTCTTACCCTCTCTCAGCTAAGTAGTTTACATTTGCCTGTTCATATACCTATCCTTTTGGAAAACTTTAATTTGTTAACTTTTCTTAAAGTGATTGCTTGGAGTCATCACTTTTATCTGACACTAGTGCTTTTCAAATTGTATTAGGCAACCTTAGGTTTGAGCCCATCAATTTTAATGACTTGTGTCAGAACTTGCTATAAATTCGCATGTAAGGTTAACACCACCAGTACTTTTAAATCTATCACGTGCTGTTGTTATCTGTGTTTTGGATACAACTAAGAGAACAAACCAAAGCATTAGTCAGTTTGTTGTATGTTGTTCCTATGGCAATAGAAACCTCCTTTGGACTTGGTTCTTCAGAACTTTGGGTGTGAAAATTTCAGAAGGTTAACAAGTAAGATGTTTCAGTGTAAACTGAGCTTTAGGCAATGGCCCTAAGATTTCTCTTGGAAAGGCTTAACTGGAATTTTTCTTCTTCCTCCACGAATGGCAGTAATTCCCAGACTCTTGGGATTGTGGAGACATTCTAAGAAGGGCTCACAGTAAGGCCACAGCCCCACTTCTGAAATCCGAAGGACTCTTCCTGGCCTTTCTTCATTGAGAAATGTCATGTTTGTAGAGTCCCTGTCTGTAACATGAGGTAGCATTTTAGCTGACTTGTACATTCAGTTTATAAATTTATTTATCAAGTAAATTTAGAAATGTGTATCAAGTCTGCTCATAAATATACATCGAGTTATGACTCGTTGCCAAATCATGCTGAGTCCTTCTTCCTACATGGCTTGGGTTCATCTGCAGCGGATGATCCTTGAAAACTTGGAGACCTCACTGCCAGAACTAAGGCTGGCAGGTGAAGGGTGAACCATTGGGAAGCATGTGCTTAAGCTACTCAGGGAAGGAAACGAGTGGAAAGAAGCCCACACTTTGGAGACCCACCCAGAGTGGGTGCTTGGCTTCTAAGGAGGAGGAGGGCTTGGGGCCAGGGTGTGGGGACAAGCGCCTTAGCTCTTCCCCTGTGTGGGGTCTTCTGGGCTCCAGCTTGGGAAGGTCAGAGGAAGGGCCACAAAGAAATGTGAAGAGGCGTGGTGCACAGAGGAAAACTTCTCTCCCGGAAGCTGAGCCTGAAGGGGCCAGACAGAATCTCCAAGGTTGTACATTGAGCCCCCCAGCCCTTCAAAAATGCAGGCCAGTCTGGCAAGAATCGGTCACGGCTCACCACCGTACTACACTGAATCACTTCCTGACATTCCCTTCCTGGTGAAAGCCTGCTTAGCAAACGTTGCTGCGAACTACCTGAAGAGGTTTAGCAGAACAACAGTAGGGAGGTGTGAGAAGCGCTGATCTGATCAGGGAGTTATATAGATAAGTGAAAGTGAAAGTGAAGTCGCTCAGTCGTGTCCGACTCTTTGCGACCCCGTGGACTGTAGCCCACCAGGCTCCTCTGTCCATGGGATTCTCCAGGCAAGAATACTGGAGTGGGTTGCCATTTCCTTCTCCACGGTATCTTCCCGACCCAGGGATCGAACCCAGGTCTCCCTCATTGCAGGCAGACGCTTTAACCTCTGAGTCAGCAGGGAAGCAGTGCACTGCAAATGTCTGTCACGCCTGCTCTCTTCTGCTTTCAGATTGTAAACGGATTCAGCAGTTAGATGTCGTGTTCGTGCTGGACCACTCAGGCAGCATCAGCGTCCAGGACCAAGAAAACATGATCAACCTCACCATCCATTTGGTGAAGAAATCAGACGTGGGCCCGGACCGCGTTCGGTTTGGAGCGCTCAGATACTCAGATGACCCCGAGGTTCTTTTCTACCTCAACAAGTACTCAAGTAGATCAGCCATCATCGAGCATCTGAGGCGGCGCAGGGATACGGCCGGGAGGACCTACACCGCCAAGGCTCTGGAGCGTGCGAACGACCTGTTCACAGAGCAACACGGCAGCCGTCTCAAGCAAAACGTGAAGCAGATGCTGATCGTCATCACGGATGGGGTATCCCACGACAGAAAGAACCTCAGTGAGGCGGCCTCAAAATTAAGAACCAAAGGCGTCATCATCCACGCAGTGGGTGTAGGTGCGGCTGACCAACTGGAACTGGAGATGATGGCGGGGGATAAAAACCACACTATCCACGTCAGTGCTTTCGATAAACTGAAAGATATTTACCTGCCTCTGCAAGACAGTATGTGTAACAACGCGCAAGAGGGTAAGTTGTGCTTTTAAAGTTGGTGTAGCAATACAAGTTTACGCAAAAAGTAAGTGATCACACTTGGCTTCCCATCATCCAGATGGCATGGGCTGAACATTCTTCTACTCAGGCTACCAGTTTTCTCGTCTCTGAGAGAAATGCATTCTTGAGTCAGAAAGATCTAAAGGGCCTTAGCTGCCGTACTGAAGACATACGGGAAGTTTGCAGAAGCGTTCTTTGCTGCCGGGCGTCTCTGTTTCCCTTTCCTCGGCTCTTCCTAGGGCCCTATTCAGCTTTCCTCATCTCATGATTGCCTGTGTTGTGCATTTGCTTGATGACCCCAGTGCAACTACTTTGTATCAGGTTCAGGCCCAATTCAGGTGGAAAGTTTCATGCTTTAAAAAGATAGACTTCTGTCTTCAAAATTCCAGGACCCTCTAAATGGGACTGTCAGCACCCTGTAGGGCCACTGGAAGTCCAACCAGGGTAGTGAGCTTTTCTGAATCAAGGCCAGGAGTGGGATATCAGTGGGATATCCCAGGAATGGGATAACAGAGACCAGTTTTAGGAACCAGGAGGGAAGGGGTCAGAGCTGAACCAGGAGATACCCCTGGGGTAGGGCGAGCTGGAGGCATCACGTCTGAGTGAGGAAGGGGTGGGATTTGCCACCTGACTTAAAAGCAGTGGAGATCAACCCGCCCTCTAGGAGGGTCACTGTGCCTCCTTGGAAACCTGGAATCCTTCCCAGATACTGTCCTGGTCCTCCCCACATGGCCAACACATCAACCAACCAGCTAACTTCCTCTCTTCTTTCTTTTTCCCTCCCTTTTTCCGACTTCCCTCTTTTTCCTTTCCACCTCCCTTCCTTCCTCTCTACCAGCTTGAAACCTACTTTTGTGTTCAAAACAAATCCTGTTTCGTCCACTGACATTGACCCACTCACTTCTTTGTGAAATCGTCCAACCCCAAACAAAACCTCCCCCCAGATCTTGTGTCAGACCAGCATTTGCTGGGCTGAGTAAAACTATGTCTGATCATCTCCACAACTCTACTTTACTTAAGTAAGCAATAAATTCAGATTCTTGGTTTCAGATATAGAATGTGGGTAGCCTCTTTAAGAAAACATGACTGCCCCCAAGGCATCTTTCTGATAGAAACTGGGCTATGTCACTGATCTGCTCACAGGTTACCATTTCTAAACTCCTGAGTTCCAAGTAGGTCCTGCTGACATCTCCAACCTCATTAATTGCCCCCTGCTTCACAGACTCTATAGTCATCCTGAAGTCCCTTCATCTTCACATGCATCATCTTACCCAGCACAAACACACCGGCCTATGGCTTTCCCTGGCTGCATCTAGCTTGCTTGTCACCTTTCAGATTTTGTTTGCGAGTTTTCTGACCCAGCACATGTCAGTGTCCCTGCTGTGTCCTATGTCTCCGGCACCTTCTATTTCTCCTGATGGTAGCATCTAACACATATTTGCTGTTTCCTTGTAACAAGACTGAGCTCATTGGGCAGGGCTGGGACTCTTACTTATCACTGGGTCCCCACCAAATCTAGAGCTATTAGTAGGACTGGAGTCTTTTTCTTATGGGCTGCTTGCTTCTCATCTCCCACACCTACTTTTGGAGGTAGGTGTTGAGACGGGGTTTTGAGATAGATGTTGAGATGATAGAGTCTAACTTTTGGATGCAAGATGTTTGCTAGCAGGACACAGCCCTGAAGGAAAGAGTCGGAAGCAGAAGAGACAAAAGAAATCCACGAGGCATGCCCCGTCATCCCAGCTGGGGATGATGCACTTTAATACAGCCCCATCCCAGCCTTTGCATTGGATGGAAACTGAGCATAAAAGATCATTCCTCGTTTTGGGTCATGTCACATGGGACTTCAGAAAGATGACCCTGTAACCAATGTTGACGAGCACTTGTCTATGAAATTTCAATATTTGGGCTATGATATTATTAAATCAATTTGTAGTAGGAAAGAGTGCTGGATTTAAGGATAAAAGGGATCCAGATACCAGCTCCACTGCATAGTGATTGACTATTCTGAGGTACCTTAACTGCTGAATTCCTTTTCTCTACCTAAGATCCGAACAATTCCTCATCAGGTGGTTGTGAATATTAACCATTATTGTATGCTAAACACAGTTTTAAAATGATAATTTTCAACACAAATGTAAAGTGGTGGCATTAATAATAACAGAATTACTAATGGCACTTGAGTACAGTGGCACTCAACTTGGGTGGATGTTCCAGTATGGGAGTGTTGAATGGATTTCAGGCCTTTGCAATGACCTTTCAATGAATATAGTCAATCTAGTCAAACTTCTTCCTTCCTTTCTCAGAGGAGCTTTCAGTGTCCTTTCAGATGTATCATGTAAATTATTAAAATTTGAAACAAAGCCTATTAACTTTTCCTAACCACTACTTTTTCTTCCCTTTGAGGGCCAATTGTGATTTCTCATCCATTATCTTATCTCAATTTGCCATGACTGTGAGGACTTAGTAGAAGCAATTAAATATCTGAGTGAACAGATAGAACATTTAGAATGATTTTTAAGGACAATAAGTGATTTACTTTTTTTCAATTGCAGTCTGTAATGTTCAGGAAGCGGATGTGATTTTCTTTTGTGATGGCTCTGACATGGTATCTGATTCAGACTTTGTTACCATGACAACTTTCTTGTCAGACTTGATTGATAATTTTGACATTCAGTCTCAGAGGATGAAAATCGGGATGGCCCAGTTTGGGAGCCGTTACCAAGAAATTATCGAGTTGCAAAACTCTCTGAGTAAAGCTGAATGGAAGTCTCGGGTTCAATCTATCAGCAAGAGCAAGGGGCTTCCTCGAATAGACCTGGCCCTGAGAAAAGTGAGCCTTATGTTTGAGCCGTCCGCCGGTGGCAGAAGGAACGCTGGTGTCCCTCAGACGTTGGTGGTCATCACATCTGGGGGTCCCCGCTATGATGTGTCAAAGGCAGTGAAGGCCCTGAGAGAAGCTGGCATTTGTATTCTGGCTCTGGGCATAGGAGATGTTTACAAGGAACAGCTCCTGCCGATCACGGGCAGTTCTGAAAAAATCATCACTTTTCAAGACTTCGATAAATTGAAGAATGTGGATGTGAAGAAAAGAATGGTCCGTGAAATCTGCCAGAGTTGCGGGAAAACCAGTAAGTGCCCTTGGCTCCTTCTTTGTTTTTGTTTGATTGCAGCTTCCTGGTTGTCCATTTCCCAGGGTGTCTTTGGGCAAATCTAACAGGATGTGGTTTGGAATAATATGCAATGAGAATAGCTGTCTCCTCTGTTTCCAAAAGTTTGGGTTTGGTCAGCCTTCCTCAGAGGCAGGGGAGAGGGTTCAGAGGCCAGAGGATGCCCTGGGTTCTGTGCCCAGGTCAGTCCTCTCCTCCACTTCAATCCAGGGGTTATGTTCTTCTCAACACTCGGAACTTAGCCTTCTATTTCTATCCTCTCTGCTTCCGGAAGTCCCAGAGCAATGCCCTGCATCCCACAGTGAGTAAGTAAAATAAACATTTGCTGGCTGGACTTTTTCGTATTTTAACTTTGTTGAACCATCTTGTAAGGGACTCAGTATGTGTGCCTGTGTGTGCACATGTGTGTCTGTGTCTGTCTGTGTCAACTGTTATCAGCACATGTCTGGTACATTTTCCTCTTTGAATGATGACATTCGTATAATCCTAACAGTAAAGATTTGAATTGTCCTTGGGGATTATTTAATTTCCAGAGGTCACTGGGGCTGATGGCTGCAAAGGCCAGGGGTGTCATGGAGGTGAGTCACGTGGGCTGGGACTGAAGGAAGTAAATGCAGAACTGCGGTCCATCTGATGGGGATGTCATTCTTCAGCTCCAGCTGAGAGCTGTGTGCGGGATTCTGGTTCTGTACACTTGGGACTGGGAGTTGGAAGGACAGAGCATCAATGAAGGATAAGATTTTGTGGAATTTGTGCAACAGGCAGAAATTCCCCAAGGGCTTCTGTTTCTAGACTTACTATGATGTAAGCCGGTTCTTTCACAAACCACATTGGTTTTTCCAACCTGTCTGGTGGGGTGCTCACTGGGGGCAGATGACAGCGGTGGAGGTGCCCAGGATGGAATCAGAAAGCCAGGGTTCCTGCTCTGGTTTAGTAGCAGCGGCTTCCCTGTCTCACCATCTCCTCGTGTGTAAGACGAACAACTGGACGGGGTCATGGGTGACCAAGTAGCAGCTTGCTGCTGAATTGAGTTTGTCCTATTTGGTGTTGTGATCTTGTGAAATTAGCTGATAGCATTTATAGACTGGAGGTTTTGCATTAATATGTAGATTTCAGGCTTCTCTTTGAAAAAAATCAGACAATGTGACCAGACTGGGCCCCCTTTCCCACATGGCGACTCAGTTGGAAGTGAATGGTGAACAGATGGGTCATTGCCTTGTGTTCACTTTCTCACCCACCGCCCACTTGACTTGATAACATGACCCTCCTGACCTTTGTTGTTGACTGAGTTGATGGCCTCTGGATTAAATAAATTCTAAGCACAATTCGAATATTTTATATTTTATAATTATATTCATCATAATATGTCCTCATTAAATGAAGAAAAAATGCATGCACACACACACACACACACACACGGCCAGTCTGAGAATAAGACTAAACCAGGATTAGACTTCAAATAGCCCCTAAAACATGTAACATTTGAAAGGGGATAGAAGAAACACCTGTATTGCAAGCGGACCCAGCAGCCAGTATCCTCCTTCTAAGACATTTTTGGGTCCTAGACACCCTCCAGCCCTAGACCGTGATGCTCCCCCTTTTCAGAACCCTCTGCCCTTCCTTATTCCTGGCTGGTCATTAATTTGGCCTCATTTTCCTTGGTCTCCAGACTGCTTTCTGGACATAGTGGTTGGCTTCGACATTTCCACTCACCTGCGGGGCCAGCCATTGTTCCACGGCCACCCCCGGCTGGAATCATACCTCCCAGGCATCTTAGAGGACATCACGTCCATCAGGGGTGTCAGCTGCGGGGCAGGTGCAGAAGTGCAGGTGAGCGTGGCCTTTAAGGTGAACAGCGACCAGAATGTCCCTGCCAAGTTCCAAATCTACCAGCAAACCATATTTGACCGCCTCCTGCAAGTCACCGTCAATGGGCCGACTCACCTGGACGCGCAGTTCCTGCAGTCCATGTGGGACACTTTTGAGAATGTGTCTACATCCCAAGGACAGGTAAGCAAGTCACTCTCTAGCTCCCATCTCCATGTCCTTTCATTAGTTTCTGCCTCCCAGTCGCATGCTTTGTTATCAAGTCATCCCATTCTACGCTTTCCTCTTTCTCCAGGTGTTGCTCATCTTTTCAGATGGTCTTGGGGGTGAAAGCAAACTGATGCTTGAAGATCAATCGGACAGGCTCAGGGAAGCAGGTAAACTTGAAACTGAAAATGTCAATGAGGAAGCAGGAGATGTGCTGCACAAGTCTCTACCTCCTCGGGTGCTCTGGAACCTGGGGTTTGCCCGGCCCCTTGAAGCAAATGCTGCTAGTGCCCTGCCCAACCCCTCCTGACCACCCACACATCCCCCAGAAGCTGCAAATACCACAGCCAAGTGCTTATTCCTGTGACCTTCTGTAGACCGGTGCCCACGACTAACCTCACCAGCGACCTGATTCTTGGAGGGGAGGTGGGGGTTATAACATATTCCACCTGAGACACCTCCTATTGTGTCTGATTTTCCATGGGAAAGATTGCATCATGGATTTCGAAAAGCACTCCTCACTGTACCTCCCCTGTCCATGTCATAGTTTCAGATGGACTGGGAGCAGAAACGGAGCGTCACAGACAGAAACAGCAAGTATCTTAGGTTCCCTAGAAGCTGAATCTGGGCGAGGCATCGGTGTGCATGTGGCTTACTGAGGTAGAGAGAGAAGCCACAAAGAGAAGTGGAGGTTGTGGACAATGGCTTGTCTCCATGAAGTCCTCACCTTGGTCTGATTCCCGAGGGACTCTGGACCGCAGGCTGTACACTTCGGGCAAGGGTGCTGGGCTTCCATAGCCCTCTGCATTAATTACCCTTGCCTCCATCCGTGGACTTCTCCAGGCCAGAATGCTGGAGTGGGTAGCCTTTCTCTTCCCCAGGGCATCTTCCCAACCCAGGGATCGAACATGTCTCCCACATTGCAGGCGCATTCTTTACCAGCTGAACCATGAGAGAAGCCCAAGTGAAGTAGGTCAGAGAGAGAAAGACAAATGTTTACAAAATAGATATAGACTCACAGACATAGAAAACAAATGTATATCAAAGGGCATAGTGGGTGGGGGGGGATAAATTAGGAGTTTGAGATTAACATATGCACACAAGTACGTATAAGACAGATGAACAGCAGGGACCTACTATATAGCTCAGATGCTGAAATATATTCAGCATCTTAGAATAACCTGTGTGTGTGTGTGTGTGTGTATATATATATATATAACTGAATAACTTTGCTGTACCCCTGAAACTCACACAACACTGTAAATTTTTTACACAAGACTTCCATTTTTAAAGTGGTGAGAAAAGATATAAGTTACTAACTACCATGTTAAAAAACATTCAGAAGAATTCTGAAGATAAGCAATACCCTTTCTTAAAAATTGCTTTCAAATGCCGAAGAACTCCATTAGGACTGGTGGTGAGGTATTAAACACAGTTTTCTGCTAGTGTTTTTGTGTAAGACTTCTTAGATTTCATGCTGAAGTCAGGAACCAGTGCCTCATGTATGTTCAAAAGATGCAGGCAATGCCACTGTGGGTTCTTCAATGTCAAGAGCACTTCTTTCTCTTATTTTCCCCCTCTTTCTGATTCTTTGAATCATGTTCACCGAAAGGAAATAAGATGGGCTTTCCTTTTTGGGGGGTGCGATTCCTTGGGTTTTATCACCATTTTTTTTGCTGCCTAGGACTTGATGCTTTGCTGGTAGTGTCCTTAAATGCAACCACTCATGGCGAGTTTTCCAGCTTTGAATTTGGAAAAGGATTTGACTACAGGACTCACCTGACCATTGGAATGAAAGAACTGGGCAGTACGCTATCACATTATCTGGTGAGTTGCTGAACAAAAACCCCACGTTATTCGAAATGCCCTGGGAGGTCTTCCCTGTGGTCCAGTGGTTAAAGACCCGCCTGCCAGTGCAGGAGACATGGGTTCCAGGAATATTTCACATGCCTCAGGGCAACTAAGCCCATGCACCACAACTTCTGAAGGCTGAGTGCCCAGAGCCTGTGTTCCACAGCAAGAAACGCCACCACAATGAGAAGCTCGTACACTGCAATGCCGTCCCTGCTTGCTGCAGCTAGGGAAGCCCTCAACAATGAAGACCCAGTGCAGTCAAAAATAAATAGAGAAACCTTTCTAAAAAATGCCCTGGGAACAAAATTGGAATCTTGATGAGTATTCTCAAAGATTCCCGTGTTTGCCCTAAACTCAGTACACGGTCTTTAGCGTATGAAAAAGTATGACAGCCCAGAGCATCGTTTTTTTGTTTCCCCATGACCTTTCATCCTTTGTCCTCTCACCAAATGAAAGCTGAGGGAAATAAAAAGTCAACCAATCCCTAATCAAATAAAAAAACCCAGCAGTTTATACTGCAGAAATCCCAGGAAGCAAGAGCCTGTCAACTAGGAACCAACCAGTGGTCATCTGTGTGGTCAGCGCCCCTTCTATAAATAGAGGTCATTTCCTTGGAGAAGGTATGTTGCCAGTGCAATTGCTAATCTGATGCTTTCTCCTCAAGGCTAAAACAAACAAAAACAACACCTGTTATTCTCCGTAGTCCCTCACCCAACAGGAGAGGACGGGCTGTAGGTGGTGAATTATGGTTTATGCCAATTCAGTTCTTATGTGATGAATTTCCACGCCGCGCTTTCTCACTCAGTTTTTCTTCTTTCCAGGGGAACATTGCAGAGAGGACTTGTTGCTGTAAATTTTGCAAATGTCTAGGGATTCCAGGACCTCAAGGGATCCAAGGGCCACGAGCCACCCAGGTACCATTCAGTTGTGACACTGTTGTAACGAATGGGCTTTGATTTGCTATAGGTGGAACTGAGATTGAGTAGCTGGATTTGCAGCCTTCACTTGAGGCTGAGGTAATTACTTTGGGCCAATTGTGTGACTTCTCTCACATTTAAAAAAAAATTATTTTATTGAAGTATAGTTGATTTGCAATGTTGTGTTAATTTCTACTATACAGCAAAGTGATCCAGTTATACATATATGTATAGAGCTATACATTCAGTTACACATACTTTTTCTATAAACCTGTAACAAACCATCATGGTTTATTATAGAATATTCAGTATAGTTCCCTGTGCTCTGCTGAAGGAGCTTGTTTATCCATTTTATGTATAGTAGTGTGTATCTGCTAATCCAAACTCCTGCCCTCCATCCCCTCCACCACCTTTGGTAGCCTTACGTTTGTTTCCTATGTCTGTGAGTCTATTTCTGTAAGGCGTTCATTTGTATAATTTCCTAAATTCCACATATACACGGTATCATATGACGTCTGTCTGTCTGACTTACTTCACGTCATATAATGATCTCTAGGTCCACCCGCGTTGCTACAAATGGCACTATTTCATTCGTTTTATGGCTGAGTAATATTCCATTGTGTAAATATACCACATCTTCTTTACCCACTTCCCTGTCGATGGACGTTTGGGTTGCTTCCATATCTTGGCTGTTGTAAACAGTGCTGCTATTAACACTGGACTGTTTGTATCTTTTCAAATTAGAGGTTTGGTTTTTTTTTTTCCAGATATTTGCCTAAGAGTGAGATCACAGAATTGTATGACAACTTTATTTTTATTCTTTATTCTTTGAGGAACCTCCATACTGTTTTCCATAGTGGCTGCACAAATTTTCATTCTTACCAACAGTGTAGGAGGGTTCAGAAGCCTCACTTTTGATTCTACTATTAAGAATGACTCCTTTTTTTCCTTATGTAGACTTTGGGGTATTGCTCCTTGGCTTTGCAATTTAGACTTTAGAGAGTTTGAAAGGTGGCAAGAGGTGTTAGAAATGGTGGGGAAAGTTTTGCTTCATCAACAATGGGACATGATTGAACTGCAAAAAGAATGTAGACTTGCAGAGTAATAGCCCTTAAAAAACAAATTACACAGCAATAGCATAAATAAATATATCATGTATATATGTATATATATATATATATATATATCTCATGGTATTTTAATTCAGTGAAATGCTCCAAGTGAATGAAAATGAATGAACTACAACTATACATGACAACAGGTATAAATTTTATAAACACAATAATGGCCAAAAAAAAAGGCAGAACACAGAAAAATGCATGTGGTATGATAGATTTATAAAAAGTTTGAAAACAGGCAAAACTAACCTATAGTTATTCTGTCTAGGGATGAATAATCAAGTAGTGAAGGATTTTTCAAAGACTTGGAAATGTCATCATAAAAGCAAGCGTGTGTTCCCAGGGAAGGGGTGGGGAATGGTTTGTGATTGGGGTAGCTGCTAGGTGTGGGTATCAGCCATGTCGTATATCTTGGCCTGGGCAGTGGTTATACCAATGTTCACTTCATAACAATTAAGCTGTACCTTTCTATTTTATTCACTTTTATGCACTTTTTCAAATGCATTTTAGATCTCACAATGAAAAGGAGACGCCTTTTTATTTTAGGGGCTCAAAAATGATTCGTGCTCAGGAGTCTTACACTGTCCATCCTTGTGAGAGGATAATTGATCTCAGCCTTTTTACTGACTTCTTTTTATGTTTTTAATTAATAAATGTATTAATATATTTTTATGGAAATACAGTTGTTTTACAATGCTGTGTTCATTTCAGATATACAACATGGTGATTCATACATGTGTGCGTGTGTGTGTGTGTGTGTGTATTCTTTTTCAAACTCTTCCGTTATAGGTTATTACAAAATATTGAGTAGAGTTCCAAGTGTTATGCAGTAGGACCTTATTATTTACCTGTTTTATTCATAGAAGTGTGTATACATTAATCCCAAACTCTTAATTTATCCCTCCCCTGGACTTTTTGCTAAGTTATGATGTTTTGTTTAGCGCAGTTCCTCTCTTATTATGCTGCTGGAGACTAGAATTCTATTCCAAGAGCACAACCTCCCAGTATACTGAGCAAGCAGTGGGGATCTGTGTTAGAGGGTGAGGAAAGCAAACCTCAAGTGAAATCCTTGCCAAAAATAAACGAGGAGACGATGAAACAAGAGAGGGAGAGAAGATAGCAGATTACAGCCGATAGGGCTGATAGGGGGAAGAGCTCCTTCTTTTTCGTGCCCTCAAAAAAAAAAAAAAAGAGGAAGAAAGTAAAGTGATGTCTTTGGAAATGTTCTCAGTTTGCCTGCTGAAGGGGTCGTGGTGGACACGGCTATCCTCCATGCAACCCCCCAGGCACAGATCTGGTCCTGAAGGAAGGGGCGGGGGGCTCCAAACCCCGCCTTCTGGAGGCATCGGGAGGGCCACCTCTGCAGAGAGCTTCAGAGCCGAGAGCCAGGACCGAAGCCAGCCCCAGCGCTTGTCCAGCTCTCCCCAAACTCACAGCCGTGCCTGCAAAACCACAGCTAGGCTGGAGGGAGGGACTTGCCTGGAATGCCTAAAGTAGCAGGGCTGAGTTGATGACAGATGACTAAGATGGGTTGTTCTCTTTCCCCGCAGGGTTTTCCGGGTTTGAAAGGCAGCGGAGGACACAGAGGAGAGGATGGAGAGCCTGTAAGTTTCTGTGGCTCACTGCCCACCACACTCCTTCCTTTTCCATACAAAGTTTTATTTTCCAGGAGGAATAGTGGGGTTTTGTTTATATGCTCTTTGTAGTTTGAGGGGTGAGATGGGTTCCTTTCTTTCCCTTCTCTTTGTCTGTGTCATGGGGCACTTGCTGAATCTACTTTTGGGGGAAAGAAGGGAGCAGACTCACCTGTGTTTTGCCCGCCACGTTTTGGGGGGGTGGCAAGGATCTGGGCACCCTCCCTCTGCCCCCACGTAGGGTGAAGCCTGAGAGGGCGTCTCTCTGGACCAGCAGCCCAGTGCTTCCAGGGTGGAAAGAGACCCGGGCAAAGCACCCCCACATGTGGTGTCACGGTCCCACGCCGCACACGGCTTCTGAGTTTCAGCCTTTGACGCCCAAACCATAACTCTCTCTTGGTTCATCAGTCAAATTACAAAAATGGATTTGGAGGAACGGAAACCACTTGGGCAGCTTCACTGGGATGGGGAAAGTTCAGGAGGTATCCAACCTGCATCTCCACCCACTTAGAACACTTGTCTGCATAGCAAGTTGAGATTAAAACTACAGCCTCCAGCGTCAGACGGCCCAAGGCTGACCTAGTAAAACCTTAATAAGATATGTAAGTTCTTGGCCCTTGGATTCCTCCTCTGTCAACTTATAAATTCCTCTAAGACTATAGTTTACCCACCCTGCACCTGTGGAGGGGTTATGGAGCCAACTGAGCCAGCCAGTGAGGGGAAGAGAGTCACCCACTGCCTGACTGTGAGCCCGCAGCTGGCTGAGTCCAAACCATGGGGACGTTTTCGTTCCTCTTATTGCCTGCAATGCTGGAGACCTGGGTTCTTTCCCTGGGTTGGGAAGATCCCCTGGAGAAGGGAAAGGTTACCCACTCCAGTGTTCTGGCCTAGAGAATTCCATGGACAGAGGAGCCTGGCAGGCTATAGTCCATGGGGTTGCAAAGAGTCAGATATGAGTGAGCAACTAACACTTTGCACTTGATGAATGTTTTAAACACATCTGACATTGCTTTGACAAATACAGTGTTTATAGTGTTTATAACTGAGCAACTTTCGTTCACTTTCACTTTCAGCAACCTGTGGCCATGGGTGAGGCCTCCTGCTTTTATTGCAAACAAACCTCAGTAAAAATAAAGAAAGCAAAGCAGTGAAAGGGAAATTGCCTCTGCCCTCACCTGCCAGGAAGGAGAGGACTAAGTTCATTGCTAGTATTTTTTTTTATTGCTAGTATTTATTCACACAGCAATCCGCGAGCACCTTTTGTGCACCCAGATCTGAGCCAAGCCCCAAGGACTCAATGGGGAAAGACAGTTGAGGATTCCAGCTCTCAGGAAACACAGTATTGTTCTTCTCTTGAGACTCATTTTATTCTAGCCATTGTGTGGTGCATGCGTGCTATGTTGCTTCCATCGTGTCTGACTCTTTGCGACCCCATGGACTGTGGCCCACCAGGATCCTCTCTCCATGGAATTCTCTAGGCAAAAATACTAGAGTAGGTGGCCATGCCCTCCTCCAGGGCATCGTTCCTACCCAGGGATCGAACCCAGGTCTCCTGCATTGCAGGTGGGTTTTTTTACCATCTGAGCCACCAGGGAAGCCCATTCCAGCCCTTACCTGTTTTTAAATATTTGCTGGGAGAAGCTGGACTAGTGAGAGATGCACAGGCCATTGACCTTGGGTACTCTTCCCTGGGTGGATCTTCTAATTTGGGAATCTTTAACTGGGGAGTCCTTCCCGCGAGCACTGGCTTGAGGCAGTGTCACTTCTGATCAGTTGCTTCTGCTCAGCTCCGGTCCCCTGGAACCAACTTGCTTCTCTGCCATGAGCCATGGTGATTTTTCCAGGCTGGTTAAGGGCCTGGGCAAGATGTCAGGGTCAACATATGTCAGGGGAGCATTTGAAATGTGGCTGGAAAGTGATGTGACTTCAGACCTTTGGCTGTGCTTTCTGTTGAGGGCAGGGAAGCAGCTGAGCTCACGTCATACCTTAGTGTGATCTTGGATCTGTACAAAAGCACTGATGGGAAAATGTTTGAATCCAGGGGACAAACAGAATTAATGAACCAGTGTGCAGGCAAGTTTGCTTTAATTGGAGCTCAAGGTGCGCAGTTCTGGCTTCACTCTGGAAAACTAAATGGGTGGCAGCTTTCTGGCCAAAGAATCACCATGGATATCTGTTTGGGTACCTTTCCCTAGGGAACTCGAGGAGAAGTTGGACCCCAAGGAAACAGAGGGAGTGCAGGATGTCCAGGGCAGCGGGGTCAAAAGGTAAATGTTTTTAAATTCCCTGTGGCATCTTCTGTCTCTCCTCCATTCCCTCCTTCTTCCATCCCTCCTCCCGCTTTCCGTGTCTCTAATTATATGCTAGTTTATTCCTTGGCAGACTAAGTCTCTTTAGTCATTTCAATAAATTATGAGCATTAATTAAATTCCACCCATAACCTCTTTGTGGCTGTATAGCCAAAAGTAACTAAAGGAAAACACAGTCACTCTTCATGGAAGTAGCCCCTTCCCGCCCCAACAGACTGAATCCACCTTCAGTCTTTGACATGCCAGTGAGAGATGTTTAATCTTTTACAGGGAGACAGAGGATTTCCTGGATATAAGGTACGTGTGGTTACTCCTCAGTCAAATTTGACTTCTTAATGGGATTGGTTTGTCCATTAGGTGGCAAAGATCTGCCTTGTCTGTCTTTCAGGGAGAACACGGAGATGATGGGGTTGATGGACTGGATGGGGAAGAGGTAAGCCATTTTTCTTCAAGTGCCACAAAATCATCATCAGATCGATGTATGTCTTTAATGGGAATTTCATTTGCTTTGTCTTCTTTTAGGGTTTTCATGGACTTCCTGGGAAAAAGGGAGAAAAAGGTGATCCAGGGTCCCAGGTAACACTTTTCTGTACATCAAAGAAAGAGAATTTGGCATTAGACATAATCTTAACTGTAGTGTGTCAGAGGTTATGAAGAAGAAAGTGGACAGCTGACTGGCATACAGTGAAACCTATTACCACTGAGTAGATGGTGCATCCCCATTTGGGGCAAGTGGGTAACTATGCAATTTTCAAGAATTTCCAAGCTAGAAAGATCCAAGCCTTGCAAGAATCTATGAGCATGCTTTTCGGAAGTCTGCAAGTGAATCCATTTGCCCATTGGCAACTTGTTTTCTTTATTGCATCAAAAAAAAAAAAAGGCAAGAGAAAAGGACAGAATTATTTTGGTGGACTTGACATAGCAAATCACAATGATATGTATATTGTGGAGAAGGAAATGGCAACCCACTCCAGTATTCTTGCCTGGAGAATCCCATGGACAGAGAAGCCTGGCAGGCTACAGTCCATCTGGTCGCAAGAGTCAGATATGACTTAGCAACTAGGTCACCATATATATATATGTATTTTATATTCAATTCACTTCAACACTCATTAATGTGTGCCTCCTTGGTTCCAAGCAGCTCTCCTTTTATGTTCTGACTCACTTATTTATCAAATACTTTTGAATACCTGGAGTGTGTCAGGCACTGAGTTATGCACGAAAGACTCAGAGATGAACCAGACTGTCCTTGTCCTCAGGAACCCTCTGGTGTGGTTGGGAAGATGGAGATATCAGTAGCTAGTGGAACGCAGGCTGTGGTTGGGATCCTCTTATAGGCAACTGTGTGGGCCCAGAGAAGAGTGGAGAGGGAGAGCAGAAAATCTTTCTGGAGGAAATGATCCCTGAACTGAAGACGAATAGGAATTAGCAAGACGTGGAGAGAGGGCATTCCAGACAGAGGGAACAGTTTTTCTTTCTTTCTTTTTTAAATTTTAATTGGAGGCTAATTACTTTACAATACTGTGGTGGTTTTGCCATACATTGACATGAATCAGCCATGGTGCACATGAGTCCCCATCCTGAACCCCCCTCCCACCTCCCTCCCCATCCCATCCCTCTGGATTGTCCCAGTGCACCGGCTTTGAGAGCCCTGTTTCATGCACTGAACTTGGACTGGATCTATTTCATATATGGTAATATACATGTTTCAATGCTATTCCCTCAAATTGTCCCACCCTCGCCTTCTCCCACAGAGTCCAAAAGTCTGTTCTTTATATCTGTGTCTCTTTTGCTGTCTCACATATAGGGTCATTGTTACCATCTTTCTAAATTCCATATATAAGTGATAATATACTGTATTGGTGCTTTTCTTTCTGACTTCACTCTGTATAATAGGCTCCAGCTGCATCCACCTCATTAGAATTGATTTAAATGTGTTCCTTTTAATGGCTGAGTAATATTCCATTATGTATATGTACCACAACTTTCGTATCCATTCGTTTAAGCAAAGACATGGAGGCTTGGGGGCCCTGCAAGTTGTTCTGCCTGGTGTGAGCATTAAGGTTCAGGTGGAGGGAGTTGGGGTTCAAAGGGGGATGGGAGGGGCTGGGGAAGGCACTGGTGACCCAAGGAGAAGCAGTATGGATTACGACCATTAGGGAATGTGGAGCCTTAAAAAGGTTTTAAGCAAGGAGGTCACAATCCAATTTGCACATTAGAAATATTCCATGACAGTAGTGTGGAGGATGTGTTGGGGATGACATAGATGCAAGGCAAAGATGAGAGGTGGATCTGTAGTAACCAGGGTGCGATGTGCTGAAGCCTTCAGATTAAGCAACAGACAAAAGACACATTAAGGATGTAACAGGGTCCAGGCTGAAGTGAGGCCCTGGCATGCAAAATTTAAGGAAGCACTTATTCTCAGAGTGATATAGATTGGGTGCCTGCCCAAATATTGTACCCTTGGTATCTTGTTTGTCTGACCCTGGCTCTGGCTCCAGGATGTCAGATTTCCAGGTGACCAGAGGAGCAGGAAATGAGAAGTCAGTCAAAATTCCTGCAAGGATGCTGGCTTGGGCGAGTTCAGTTGGGGATGGTCATCTGAAGTGACAAGGGAACATCCCACTGAAGGCTTCTGGTGGACAGCTTAGTTACAGGTGTCAGAAGTGGCTAGACTGGCTGGGATGTCCCGTAAGATAGCCACTAGCAATATATGACTACTTAAATTCAAATTAACTAAAATGAAAAATTCTGTTCTCCTAACGTACTTATGCATTTCGTGTGTTTGACGGCCGCCTATGGCCAGGGGCTAGTGTACTGGATAGTGCGGATGGAGACCTCTCCATCTCTGCAGAAGGTTCTAGAGGGTGGTGCTAGACCATGAGAATTTCTACCTTTTCTCAGCCTCATTATAAATAGACCTGACCGTAGGTTTCAAACTGGGCTTGGTTCTGCTTGAGAGGCTGAAAGGAATCTGGCTGGGATTGATTTTCTCCCCCACAAACGCCACAGCCCTTGATATTTTAACACCCTCCTACAAGCTAACTTGGAGCTCATTTTATTTTTTTTTTTCAGGGCAGCCCAGGTTCCAGAGGCCCCCCTGGGGGATATGGGGAGAAGGGCTTCCCAGGGGATCCTGTAAGTTTCTGGGGCCCAGGTGGTTCTGAACTGCATAGCTACTCCACATTTCCTGTATTTTTTCCTCTTGTGTTTCCACTAACCTGTAGGCAAACACATGACTTGGGAGAGGGGTAGTAGGTATTGACTGAGGCTGATTTGTTGGAGGTAAACCTGCATGTGATCTGGGCTGATTATATATTAAAAAACCTCAGAGATGGGAACAAAAATTCCATCTTATTCATTTTGAGACTGTTAGGTTCCTTTGGGAATGAAATTTCCATAATTTTGCTTATTGAGTTTTCAGTCCTGTAGATTCCCTAATGCAGACTCAATTACAGGGGAATCTTGCTACATTTTGAATGAGTGGCATAAGCCTGTTGGGATGTGTGCATTAGTGAAGCTGCCAGTATAGAGAAGGGAAAATCACTGTAACTTCAGCAAGCACTCATAATTCTTCATTTATCATCACTAAGCCTCCTTCAGATTTAGGAAAATGTTACTTTCATCTTTTAAAGAAATTGTGCTTCAAATATGGAGAATTTTCTCCCACCTCTGATTACTTAGCCCAAATTAGCTTAGTTCTTGAACACTGTACTATTTTGAGGGGGAAAGAAAAGGCTGATATTTCTTGATTCTAAAGTACTTTTTAAATCTTCCTCTAGGGTAAACCAGGACAAAGCAGTAACATCAAAGGACAAAAGGGCTCCAAAGGAGAACAAGGAAGACAAGTAATTGGATCTATTTAATGTATATGAGTTGGTTGATTCTGTTATGGAGCTGAGGCTTTCTTAAAGTTTAAACTAATCATTCAGTAAAATACATAACCCTTTTTTATAATTGAACAATCACTCCTCAGTTTAAGAGAGCCTTATTTTCTCGCAATAAGGCATGTCTGTAGTAACTTACATCTCTATGGGCAAAATCATCACATTTCTGGCAGGTGTTATTGTTATATGGGGAAACGGTCATAGCAGTGCATGTTGCCGTATCATTTTCCTCTTTAATACATACATACCCAATAGGGTTAATATGCAGAAGTATTCTGGCATGACGCATCTGTTCAGTTTTAACGGTATTTGATGTTGTTATGCTGATGCATTTATCCTTTCTTCAGAATCTTTCAACTTATGATTTGGGGAAATGATTTTCTTTCAGGGTAGAACTGGGCAGAAAGGGACGCCAGGCAGTCCTAGCTCCAGAGGGAGCAGGGTAAGTATTTCCGTGGACATTTATTGCCCCTCCTTGTCACCTGAAGATGCCACGGAGGCATTCAGAATATGTGTCCCTGCAGTCAGCTGATCCAAGAGTACTATGTTGACACTGTTATCATTTGGGGTCAACATAGCTCAGTTGGTAAAGAATCCGCCTGCAGTGCAGAAGACCCCAGTTCTATTCCTGGGTTGGGAAGATGCCCTGGAGAAGGGATAGGCTACCCGCTCCAGAATTCTTGGGCTTCCCTTGTGGCTCAGCTGGTAAAGAATCTGCCTGCAATGTGGAAGACCTGGGTTCGATCCCTGGGTTGGGAAGATTCCCCTGGAGAAGGGAAAGGCTACCCACTCCAGTATTCTGGCCTGGAGAATTTCATGGACTGTATAGTTCATGGAGTTGCAAAGAGTCGGACACGACTGAGTGACTTTCACTTTCACGAGTCTTTGTTCTGAGGAGCTTTCCTGTGCATTATATGATACTTTGCAGCATCTCTGGTCTCCACACACTAGATGTCAGTAGTGCCCACTTTCCTGAGTTGTGGCATCCAGAAATGTCTGCAGATCTTGCCAAATTTCAGTTGAGGATAGTGATGGGGAGCAAATTGCTCCTGGTTGAGGACCATTGTGATGGTGTGTTTTTCCCTTTCCACCTTCTGGAAGCTTTTAAATGTCTTTGGAGAGAGCCAATGACTTTCACATAAAAATCCTCCTCCAGTAGCTCAGCATCTTTGAGCTTTTTAAAGAACATTAAGAAATATATATCTTCCCTGGTAGCTTAGAAGGTAAGGAATCTACCTGCAATACAGGAGATCTGGGTTCAATCTCTGGGTCAGAAAGACCCCCTGAAGAAGGAAATGGCAACCCACTCCAATATTCTTGGCTGGGAAAAATCCCATGGACAGAAGAGCCTGGCTGGCTATAGTCCGTGAGGTCGCAAAGAGTTGGACATGACTGAGCGACTAACACTCAAATATACTCTCTTCCTCTTCGTATATCACCAGTGGGAAAGAAAAATCACAGATATTAATAAATTCTTCCTGAATAAACCAAAACATTGGCAATTAGGGGTGAGCCAGTGGCAACCTTGAGATGCTGCAAGTAATTTTACAACATCCCGTGTGATATCAAGCCTAAAACAGAAATGTTGGATTTCCCCTTCTTTTTAAAGAATAACCAAAAAATCATTTTCCCTTTGTGGACTACTGACATTAGAGGGTATGTTTATAGTGTGTTAGAAACCCACTCATCATGCACTCAGATGGAGATCATAAAAAGAAATGACGTAAAACATCGTAGATTTGGCCCTGGGTTTTGGTCAAGAGAACACTGGAAATACTTGGCTTCCTTTTCTGTTGTAAATTTGGAATCTTCCTGCCACTTTGAAAGCTGGGGCTTTTGCCTCTCTCTCTGGGAGAGATAATGGGTGAGTGTTCTAATTCCTCCTGCCTTTGTTTATCTTGACTCAGTTCTTAAGGGGAAAGGTCTCCAGTTGGATGACTTAGGCCTCCCAATGCTACTAGTGAAATTCTCTGGGACGTTGCCCTCCTCTCCACACAAGATAATTCAAATTAATCAGAGGAAGCAGGAGATCAGCAAGATGAACTAAATGCTATAAATCTTAAAGATAAATATGTAGTTTTGTTGGTGTGAGACAGCTTTATAGCGGTCACCATCAGTCAGCACTTTTAAAAAAAGAGGAGCTGGGGCCAGGCAAAAGGATTACTACTTGGACAAACCACCCAGTGACTTTAAGTCACTTCACAGACAGGAGGTTCAGCTTGTTTCTGCCATCCTCACCCACTTTCCTGCCCATCTCCTCCTCTAAGCTCTTTTCTCTTGAATTAAACAAGGCAACACAGATGGCTATAAAGCAGTGGCTTTTCTACTTCCCTTTCACCTTTCCAGTGAAGGCTAGAATTCTCTATGACGGTCAGAGGATCTTAAATGGATGGCAAATGCTAAAAACACAAGCAAACCTTAGACATCTCCTCTTGGGTGACACAATTTAAATCTATATAAATTAAATTGTTGCCCCAGCTCTTGAAAAAGCAATGGATCCGTGTACTAAGAACCAGACCATTTGAAAGCATGTTCCAGGCCCATTTGGGGGCTTCCCTGGCAGCTCAGATGGTAAGGAATCTGCCTGCAGTGCAGGAGACCTGGGTTCAATCCCTAGCTCGGAAGGTCCCCTGGAGAAGGAAGTGGCAACCCCCTCCAGTATTCTTGCCTGGAGAATTCCATGCACAGAGGGGCCTGGTGGGCTACAGTCCATGGGGTTACAAAGAGTCGGACGTGACTGAGTGACTGACATGCTTTTCTTCCAGGCCCAATGCCTTTGGCCTATCAAGCACAAGGAATACTTATAGACAGTAGTATTTATACTTCTAGAGCACCTAATTTGTGCCAGGTCCGGTTCAAATCACTTTCAAATGTTAATTTGTATAATCCTCATAACAAATATATCAGGTAGAAACTATGATTATAGCTATTTTGCAGTTGAGGAAAAGCAAGGGACCTTGGGCAAACTGGCCGGGATTAGAATAGGTAGTGAATGTTGGAGCTGGGGTTTGAACCAGGGTGTCTCACTCCTAGCCAGTCAGGCTCCGGCTTACTGTGCAATTGCTCTGGGCCACCCAGGCTTCAAAGGGCAAGGCTGAGCTCACAGCCGTCTGACTTCTGAGGACAGTGAGCAGCCTAACCATTGGGCTGCACTGTCTGTATACAGAATGAATGCCATTTCATCCTTGCTTTTTAATGGAGACAGACTTACGACATCCTGAAACAGTGACTTCAAACGTCATGTACTGTTTCTTCTCTGCTTTCATCTGTCAAGAGTTCTTTGAGTCACATCAAGGTACAAATAGCTGACAAATTACAAAGAGCAGCTTCTCCAAAGGGTATTTGCACTTTATAAGCAAAGAGTACCTGAATCAAGAGGCAGAACCTCACTGGAGGAATTCTAATCATTAGCCAACCCGGTAGAGGTGATGTTTGATCAGGTGGTTTATTCTAAGAAGATTCAGAAGCTGGGCAGTTGAAAGAAAACAGCTGTTCTGCAATCATTTCCATGGCTACCTTTCCAAACGAATGTAGGAAAAAAAAGTTTTAAGTGTTTGTTTTGTATGTGAAGTAATCATAGTTGTTTATCACCACACAAAGTCGATTGATGGGTGAGATGTCCCTCCGGCAACTTCAGTGAGGCAGAGCTGGGAGGTGAGGGGTGAGGACAGACCTCATCATAGCTTTCTAGGAAAGAAGTTAGGATCTGGGGCTGGGATATCTTCCTCTGGCTTAGCCACCCTCTGGAAAGCAGAGATAGCGACTAGGTGGAGAGCCTGCTCTGGCAGCGTGAAGTTGCTTCTGCAGACGCGCTGCTGGATTTTGGCCTCAGACCAGCTTTTCTCTGACGACCCTGATGGTGGCATTGTGCCAGCACATGGACCCCATTGCCATGTCCTCCTTGGAGAATTCCATGGAGTCTAAGGGGCACTGTGTGTAATGATATTTCACTCTCCCCTAATATACGATCAGGGGCTGGGACAGAGAGCAGTGGATATGGCCCAGCTCGTTCTCAGGCAGGAAACCTCTGATCAGCAGACAGTACTCTGTGGGATTTGCCGGAGTGTGTGGGCATCAGACAGGTGCTCTGGGATGATCTGATTCTCCAAACAGCCTCCCAGATAATTGTCACGGTTGTCAGACTAGAGCTGAGTCTGTAATGACTTTTAGATTGGCTTACAGTCAATCCCTCAAATGTTAACTAGTAATTAAGTGCCTGGTGTGTAAGCTTGTCTTTGGAGAGTGGCTCGGGGAAGTCGTTTCTGCAAGCTGCCTGTTATTCTGTCTATCGGGAACAAGAGAGATCGGATTGCCTCTAAGGAGCCTCCATCTAGACACCCACTCACTAACCCTCTGTCTTTTCTGATCCAGGGAAGAGAAGGCCGTAGGGGAGTCCAGGGTGCCCTGGTGAGTAGCCTTTCTCCTGTCCTCTATGGGAGGTGGGGCCAATGAGCTAGCATTTGATAAGGGTGCTGCAGGAAGTGCCGAGCACTGGATGTGAGCCCTACCAACCGGTGGAGCCAGTGTCCATCAGTTAGGCGGCCAGACGCAGGGCAGACCTAAAGTCAGGCAAGCCTCCTTCATGAACACCTCAGAGACAGGGGACCTGTGCAGTTCTGCAGACTGTGCTATTCACAAACCCTGGGCTTCGACTGCAAGACAGAGCAATTCTGTCTTAGAGTAAGGAATGGCCTGGAGTCCAGTCCTTAGACAGCATGGAAGAGTACAGTCCTAGGCCAAGAGGGGCACGATCCAAGTCAGACAGGACAGTTCCAGGTACCATGCCATGCAGCACTAGGTACTGGGAAGAGAAAACCTCTATGGAAACCATGTGAAGAGAATCTTAACACTGAAAACTCGCCCATCAGGGGGAACCCGGGACGCCTGGGCCTCAAGGCGAATCAGGAGCTGACGGATCACCAGGCCCGCAGGTGTGTTGGAATGTTTCTAATACTGACAATAATGCTGCTGTTCTCATGGGAAGACCTAGTTCTGTGTAAACATAAAAAACTGAAACAATTTGCAGTTGCCCCTACCCTCCTCCATGGTACATGTCTCAGGGATTCTGCATTTCTCAATGCGGGTAGATGACTTTGCTCCATTTTTGCAGCTCACTTATAGAGGGAAGCTTGCTCTTGTGTGTACCTGGCATCATGTCTGCATTTTAATCATAATGAATTATTGAGACCTTAATACTTTGTCACTAATCAGTATCCGGATCAACAAATTGGTTTTACTTAAGTGAGGTCCTGCACACAGACTCCCATAAAGGAAACTTAGAAATTGACAACTGTTATTCACCTCTTCTGAAGCTAGCTCTACAGGGGGTGACAGTGCTTCCAGAATATCACTGATAGGGCTCTATTTGAGGCATCTGCATTTTCTCTTGGTCATATCATTAGTGAGATAGGCGTTGGAGTTGCGACATCTCTTTCTTTTCCATATCAGAAATATGCTAGGGTCATCCAAGAGAGCGACTTTAACAAGGGTAGTTGGTCACCTTGCTATTCTTTGGAACTCTGCATTCAAATGGGTATATTTTTCCTTTTCTTTTTTGCCTTTTGCTTCTCTTCTTTCTCAGCTATTTGTAAGGCCTCCTCCGACAGCCATTTTGCCTTTTTGCATTTCTTTTTCCTGGGGATGGTCTTGATCACTGTCTCCTGCACAATGTCACTAGCCAAGATGATCACTCACCTAGAGCCAGACATCCTGGAATGTGAAGTCAAGTGGGCCTTAGGAAGAATCACTATGAACAAAGCTAGTGAAGGTGATGGAATTCAACTTGAGCTATTTCAAATCCTAAAAGATGAAACTGTGAAAGTGCTGTATGTAATATGCCAGCAAATTTGGAAAACTCAGCAGTAGCCACAGGACTGGAAAAGATCAGTTTTCATACCAATCCCAAAGAAGAGCAATGCCAAAGAATGTTCAAACTACTGCACAATTGCACTCATCTCACATGCTAGCAAAGTATAATGCTCAAAATTCTCCAGGCCAGGCTTCAACAGTACGTGAACCATGAAACTGCAGATGTTCAAGCTGGATTTAGGAAAGTCAGAGGAACCCAAGATCAAATAGCCAACATCCACTGGATCGTCGAAAAAGCAAGAAATTTCCAGAAAAAAAACCATCTATTTCTGCTATTTTGATTATGCCAAAGCCTTTGATTATGTAGATCACAACAAACTATGGAAAATTCTTGAAGGATGGGATTATCAGAGCACCCTACCTGTCTCCTGAGAAATCTGTGTGCAGGTCAAGAAGCGACAGTTAGAACTGGAGGCAGAACACAGACTTCTTCCAAACTAGGGAAGGAGTACGTTCAAGGCTGTATATTGTCACCCTGCTTATTTAACTTATATACAGAGTACATCTTGTGAAATGCCGGGCTGGATGAAGCACAAGCTGGATTCAAGATTGCTGGGAGAAATATCAATAACCTCAAATACGCAGATGACACCACACTTAGGGCAGAAAGCAAAGAACTAAAGAACCTCTTGATGAAAGTGAAAGAGAGTGAAAAAGCTGGCTTAAAATTTAACATTCAAAAAACTAAGGTCATGGCATCTGGTCCTGTCACTGCATGACAAATAGATGGGGAAACAGTGGAAACAGTGACAGATTTTATTTTCTTGGGCTCCAAAATTACTGCAGATGGTGACTGAAGCTGTGAAATTAAAAGACACTTGCTCCTTGGAGGAAAAGCTATGACCAACCTAGACAGCATGTTAAAAAGCAATGACATTACTTTGCCAACTATAGTCCATCTAGTCAAAGCTATGGTTTTTCCAGTAGTCATGTATGGATGTGAGAGTTGGACCATAAAGAAAGCTGAGCACCGAAGAATTGATGCTTTTGAACTGTGGTATTGGGGAAGACTCATTTGAGATTCTGTTGGATGGCAAAGAGATCCAGCCAGTCAATCCTAAAGGAAATCAGTCCTGAATATTCATTGGAAGGACTGATGCTGAAGCTGAAGCTCCAATACTTTGGCTACCTGATGCAAAGAACTGACTCATTGGAAAAGACCCTGATGCTGGGAAAGATTGAAGGCAGGAGGAGAAGGGGACGATCGAGAATGAGATGGTTGGATGGCCTCACTGACTTGATGGACGTATTTGAGCAAGCTCCAGGAGTTGGTGATGGACAGGGAGGCCTGGCGTGCTGCAGTCCATGGGACTGCAAAGAGTCGGACATGACTGCCAGCCTAAGTCCATCCCTAGCCTTTGTAGGGAGAGGAGTGGCGTTACCTCAGCCCCTCTAGGGTTCCTGTGATGCTCAGGCTGTGAACCAAGGTGAGACTGGGTGCTCTGACTGCCATTCGCCCTGAGCAGCCAAAACATCTTACAGCTGCTGTTTTGGTGATGACAAGCTATACTAGCACCTCTAGTTTTCCTTTCCGTGCGAGAGAACCATATGAGAACCAAACAATTGATGGGAAATATGGCAGCTAATATGTTTTAATTCCTCTGATGGAGATCTTCTGTGAAAATGTCCTTTTGTGCTAACTTAGAACAACTTGCTTTCTCTTTTGCACATCGAAGTACTTTGGCCTAATAACTTGCCACATCACAGGAGTCCTACTGTTTGTGTCTCGCTTCCTTCTTCTGTGGGTTTTATTTCTTTTTTAAATATCTTTTCCATTTCTACCTGTTACAGAGAGATAAGGTCTTATACCCAGGCAGGGAATTTCTTCATAAGAGCTGCTTCACTGAGTCCAGATCTCCCAGCACCTTCTCTTTCGAGACAAGCTTAATCGTGGTGTTAAGCTTCTTGAAGGGCTGGGCTGGTGCTTTTCCATGCATGTCTTTCAAGAGCAGTAGCAAAGAAAATCCCTTTTCATTGACTTGATTGCATTGTGTTTCTTTTGTTACCCCCAAAGGGATTAAGCGGACCTCCGGGCAGGAAAGGAGAGCAGGGAGACGAAGGACAGAAAGGACCTCAGGTGCGTGACCAAGGCGGTCCTGTCAGTGGCCTCCAACCTTCCTTCTCCTCTTGCTTCAGAAACATCTTCACATAGAGATTATTTTATACTATCTAGATGTGGAGTCTTTCATTTGAGGATTAACTTGGGACAAACTGGGGAAAAAATACTTAGCACAGCTCAGATTCCCTGTTCATTCCCCTTTCTCCGTCCCTGGGGTTTGATTTGGAAAGCACAGACCTACTTCATCTGCCTGAAGAAAGCCTTTAGGAGAATGCACATCATGCTGACTCAGGAACATTTACAAACCTGATACATTATTCAGGCTTTTCTAACTTTTGAAAATTATCTGTGACATGCCTGTCTCCATTGACGAGAGGTATTTGAAACTGACTCTACAAAGATCGCTTGCTACCCAAATTCATTTGATTCCAAAGTTCGGCTTTGAATTCACCCCTTGAAGCTACTTGGTTCCTGAGTTTCTGATGGTGAATAATGAGAGTTTGGATGGTAAGAGATTCATATGAAAAACGTTCTCAATCTGTTCACTTTTTCAGTGCAGATGGTGAGAGTTTAGAAGGCAAGGGCTGCCTGTGTTTGCTTTAGTGATCTTCCCAGTATGTTTGTGAGAGACCTGTTGGCCCCCTTTGCAGGTTAGGAACACATTTGGCATCCCTTTTCACATATGTGGATGGCGCAGAGCACAAAAGTGACAATGACAGCACAGTGTCTTGTTCTAACAAGATCAGTCTGTTACAGAGTTGCCACATTCAGAAGTAATGTGTGTTGCATCAAGGGTGCCATTTTAATTTCTCACTAAGGCCCCATTTGGACTAGCCACATCCCTGTAAATGAAAACTTGGGCTCCTTTAAGCAGGACTGAAGCCCAAGGCATCTGGTTTCAGGTTGGGTCTCTTCTTCAGCAAGTATCAAGAAGTCGTTAGAAGTGACACAAAGAAAAGCCAGTCTATTCTGACAGGTTTTGTGTGAATTGTCGCAGTGCCAACGTCTGTGTGTCCTGTTTTCTTTCAGGGTGCTCCTGGCCCAGTAGGAGATAAAGGGAGTGTTGGAAGGCCTGGTCTTTTGGGGAGAAAGGTAAATTCCTACAGATTTCAAATGCTGAGAAAAGAGGAGCTCTGTTTTTTGAATTTTCATGTTAGTTCTTCACATGATCCAGGCGCCATCAACCACTCACCCGTTTTCTGCAATAGATTCTTTTCCTTCCTCTGTGAAACTGCCTCATTTCACTAGGAGAGACACGGTTCATTCACCTATCATGAAGCAACTCTGATAAACTCAACTCCCTGGTTTTCTGAATGCATCAAGGCCCTTGTGGCAGAGTTGGCCAGGGGCATGGGGGATGTCAGAGCTCAAATCTGTCCATGCATGCAGTCCTCTGTCTAACTCAACCTGCCTTCTTGGAAGTGTCCTTACTTCCAAGATCCCTAGAGAACAGACCACTGGCCTGTTCAGAATCCCACTCTCCTGCTCAAGACCTTTCAGAGGCTCCCTCCTCCAGGGCAGCCTCATGGGCCTGAGCTCCGTGCAGTGACACAGGGGCCTCACTTAGAAGGCACCTCTGCTTGGCTTCTTGCTCTGCTTTCACCATCTGGAAGGTCTTTGCGTTTGGGTTAAGGGGCCATGCTTTCATTTGCATCCCACAAATTATGTCACTGGTCCTAACTTCCCCGTGGTCCTTAGGATAATCTCCAAACTTCCCAGTAGTTTCAGTTCAGTTCAGTTCAGTCGCTCAGTTGTGTCCAACTCTTTGCAACCCCATGGACTGCCGTGTGCCGGGCCTCCCTGTCCATCACCAACTCCTGGAGCTTGCTCAAGCTCATGTCCATCGAGTTGGTGATGCCATCCAACCATCTCATCCTCCATTGTCCCCTTCTCCTCCCGCCTTCGATCTTTCCTAGCATCAGGGTCTTTTCCAATTAGTCAGTTCTTCTCATCAGGTAACCAAAGTATTGGAGTTTCAGCTTCAGCATCAGTCCTTCCAATGAATATTCAGAACTGATTTCCTCTAAGATGGACTGGTTGGAACTCCTTGCAGTCCAAGGGACTCTCAAGAGTCTTCTCCAACACCACAGTTCAAAAGCATCGATTCTTCGGTGCTCAGATTTCTTTATGGTTCAACTCTCACATCCATCCATGACTACTGGAAAGACCATAACTTTGACCAGATGGACCTTTGTTGGCAAAGAAATGTCTCTTGCTTTTTAGTATGCTGTCTAGGTTGGTCCAGTAGCTTAGAAGGCTCTTTGACCCTATTTAATTCTAAAGCTTCCTCCCTCATCTTGCTCCTGTGTAGCTGCCCTGGCTTTTCACTCTCCCTTCCCTTCTCCCTACTCATTCCTCCCTCGGTCCTTCTTCCAGCTCACACAACTCATACTTTAAGCCTCAGCATCCCTGTTTCCCTCCTTCAGGCAGCCAGCCTGCCAACCCCATCAAGTCTGACTTAGAGTCCCCTCCTCTCTGCTGCCATGGCGACCCTGAACTTCATCACGTGATGTAGAATCGGCTAATTGTCTCTCTTTCTAACCAGAGTATTCTTGATGAGGGCAGAACCATGTGAGCCGTGTTCAACAGTTCCTTTTCCAGGACAATAAATAATTGTTGGATGCATGAATAAATCGGCAAATGAATTCACTCTCCCTGGAGGAAATCTTCCGCTCTCTCCCTCTCCATTAGTCCATCGAGAGCACTGGGAACGCAGTGACGAGTCCAGGCTTGGGCTGATGCTAGTGTTTCCTGCTCGCCTTTCGGAAGAGCATCCTTTGCTTCCCACACTCCCTTTCCTTACTGAGCGCTGGACCCTCAGGGAGAACACAGTGTCCCCAGCGAACAGACAGAATGACCTGTGGTGGAAGCCAGGCTTGATTTTTACTGATCTGCAGCTCTTCTTGCCTCACTCACTAGGGAGAACCTGGGATTCCTGGAGACCCAGGGCCAGCGGGGCAAGTTGGACAGCGAGGAAAGCAGGTATGAGGTTTTAGGACCCTCACCCTTTCTCAGTTCCAAGGGCTCAGTAAACGCGAGGGCTGATATTATCAGGTCAAGCAGCTGGGTCCTGAAGATGTTTTGGGACCTCCGAGGAAGATGTGAGGACGTTCCTCTGGCTCCCTGCAGCTTTCATTCTGCAGCTGGTCTGTCTGCTGAAACAAGGGGAGGACAGTTGTTAACAGGGAACGCGGAACGCAGAGAGAATAACGGATGAGTTCAGGATGTTAACAACCTATATGGCCTTGTCAGTTGCAAGTCAGGAATGCCAGTTTCTCTTGAGTTCCTGCAAAACTCCAGAGTGATGAGAAGAGGGGAGGATCAAGCAGGATCAAGAAATAGGGTATCTGTTTTAGTGTCTCTGGCTGTACCAGGACCTCAGTAGTTCACTGAGCCACCAATATAGGAAAAACTAGGAAAAATTTTATTTTCTTCTCAAAAATAATGTTTATTAAAATGTTGCATGTAAATATTGTAGAAAGTTGGGTAAGCATAAAACATGGGAAACAGAAAAAAAAATTACCCATAATCCCACCATTTTGAAATATGTAACATTAATATCCTGGGATACTGAAAAAACTTCTATTTTTTCCTATTAACACTGTATCATGAGCATATTTCCAAGTCATTACATTTTCCCCTCAATGTTGCTTTTAATAGCTTCAAAATATTCTACTGAATGTTTGTACCTTAGCTCATTTGACCGATTTCTTATTACTGGATATTCAGTTTACTTTCAGTTTTTCACTGTCTTAAATAGCACATCAATGAACATTCTTGTATGTAACTAAGTTTTTGGATGAAGCCATTATTAATTTCTACATAGGAATTTCTAGAAGTAGCATAGTTAGGTCAAGGAATATGTACATATTTAATTAAGGCTTTAAACCCTATTGCAAGATGCCCTTAGGAAAATTCAAACAAGGTATGAATTGTTATTCAGGAAAAGTATTCACTTCAGGGCATACATACCAACAATAGGCATTGTCCTTTTTTTTTTTCTTCATCTTTACCAATTTTATCTCGTTACTGTTTCAAATTGCATTTCTTTGGTTACTAGTGAGGATAACAATTTTTCATATGTTTATTGGTCATTTATAATTCTTCTTTGAGGAATTCCTCACCCAGTGTTCTTTGGAATAGCTCTTAATTTTCCAGGCAAGTAACCACTACTGATCCGTCAGTCTAAATCGCCATCCCTCTGCCTCCTGCAATGTCTGAAAAGCAGAGCTGACCGGTAAAGTACCAGGGCCATACCAGGAAGTGCAGAAAACTAAGCAACATGCATATTTTAAGAGTTCAAGGTCGTCAGGCCCCCTCCACCTGGAAGTCCCCAGGGCTTTGCTCCTGACACTATAATCTCAGTATAAGTTACAATGAATTTTCACTCTTAAGGAACTGAAATAAACTGATTTGTTCACAGGGTGATTATGGCATCCCAGGGTATGGTCCTGTGGGACGAAAAGGAGTCAAGGTAAATATGGAAAACAATTATTTCTTTAGTTGGTGAAAGTGTTAGCCTCTCACTTGTGTCCAACTCTTTGAGACCCCATGGACTGTAGCCCACCAGCTTCTCTATCCATGGAATTCTCCAGGCAAGAATACTGGAGTAGGTTGCCATTCCTTTCTCCAGGGTATCTTCCCGACCCAGGGATCAAACCCAGGTCTCTTGCATTGCAAGCATATTCTTAACCATCAGACTTAATAATAGAAGAAATGATTATACTGCAGAAATGGTGTGTTGATTTATTTATGTTATCTGCTGAAAATTGCAGGGTTCAAGAGGATTCCCTGGAGATATGGGCCAAAAGGTATGGTGCACATGAACTTGTCAAACTTACTGTGATCTTGACCTTCTACATGAGAAGTAAGATAAGTCAGTGGATCTGAATGAAACAGAAAAAAAAAAGCAGGATAATTGGTTGCCTGAGCTTCATGAAAAAAAGGACCATACTTAAACCCTATGAATCCTTAAATTGGAAAAGATGTCCTTCACTGCCTGATATTCCTTGTCTTGAAACCCTACCTCTAGGTACCCTCTCAAGTTCACTCCTTTGCCTTTTTCTTGATTTCTCTACCCTGGTGATCTCATGCAAAACTCTTGGCTTCTGCTATTGTTCTTTGCCGTTCATCTTCATAGCTTCACTTCCTCTTACCTGAAAGATTACAAGAGTCTTCTCATTGGTTTCCTACTTTCAAATTTAACCTCAGTTAGTTCAAAACACTATTGCCACCTGTTTTTTCCAAGGTATAGCTTTGTTATGTTACTTTCTCGATCAAACATCTTCTAGAATTCCTCATTGCCTATCAGCCTGAATTTGACCTCCAACGGCTATGACCAGATGCCCCTTCCATTTTAACTCAGGTTATATGTGTTCTATACATTGGAATTCTGTGATAAGAATTCTTTTAAAAATCTTGCAAATGAACTTATTTACAAAATAAACCTACAGACACAGAAAACAAATGTGTGATTACCAAAGGGGTAAGTTGGGGAGGGATAAATTAGGAGTTTGGGATTAATATATATGTTCTCCTGCTGCTGCTCCTAAGTCGCTTCAGTCGTGTCCGACTCTGTGAGACCCCATAGATGGCAGCCCACCAGGCTCCCCCGTCCCTGGGATTCTCCAGGCAAGAACACTGGAGTGGGTTGCCATTTCCTTCTCCCATGCAGGAAAGTGCAAAGTGAAAGTGAAGTTGCTCAGTCGTGTCTGACTCTTAGCGACCCCAAGGACTGCAGCCCACCAGGCTCCTCTGTCCGTGGGATTCTCCAAACTCTACTGTATATAAAACAGATAACCAACTGTATAGTACAGGGGACTATACTCAATATTTTGTAAAAATTTTTAAGGAAAAAGAATCTGAAAAAGAATATATATATGTGTGTGTATGTGTATCACTGAATCACTCTGCTATACACCTGAAACTAACATCATAAATCAACTATACTTCTATACTTCAATAAAAAGCCAAATAAATAAATGAAATTATCCTGTCTAGAAGAGTGGCTTCCAATCATTGATGGAAAATATGGGTGAAAAAATAGAATGTCTGAGCAAATTGACTCAACCTTAGTATAGGAAAATAGCCAAGTTTTGAGTTCCCTTAAAAGTGGTTTTAATTGATGAATTACCAAAAGAGATTCTTTCCTAGGTGGAGAAGCGTACAAGAGGGACTACATAAATAACTTTTAGAATAGGAGTTCTCATTGTAAAGGACCAATTTTCTAATTTGCTGATAAAGAGAAAATTAACACATTTCAATTTACAGATAAATGTGAAATTAGCTTATTGATTAAGTGCTAAATTAGTTTTCCACCCAAGTCAGAATAAATTTGTTTTTACCTTTAACTTTTTGAGAAACAAGTCAGGAATTTAGGAAGTAATTCATTGTTTAGTACTTTGTAAAGTCAGCACCCCATATGTTTTCCTTGATTTTCAAGCAATTCTCTTTAGGTATTTTTAGTAACTGATGGAATAGCCATTGGAATTGATATTTATGCATAAATATTTGTGTTCTCAGACAATTAAAATAGTTTGGGGAATATCTAAGTGTATCATTTAGACTTAGTTCTAAATGATAAGAAGAGATACATTTAACATTTAGTATGTGATATAGTTACAAAACCAATTAGGTTTTGGTTTGGAGAGAATTATTTTCATTTTATCATAGCAAGCATTTTAACATCTTGATTTCTTATATTTGAATCTTTAGGGTGATGCTGGTGATCCTGGAATTCCTGGTGGGCCTGGACCAAAAGGATTTAGGGGGTTAACCGTAAGTGGTCTATACTTGCAGAAATAATAAATATTTCTTTGAAGATTCTGGCCTTTATGTTATAATTATAAATGTGGATTGTCAGTCCAACCCAGGGTCATCTGAAATGCCACTTCCTAGCTGTGTGATCTTCAGCACAACTTTTCAACGTCTCTATTGCTGTAACATGAGAGTTAATGACAGCAAAAGTCACTTTGAGCTCCAAAATTCTATGGTTGCATGAATCTGAACTATTTTAAGTTTTTGCAGATTGATAATAAGCTGTTCCAATAAATGCCAGTGTCTTCCAGTCTTTTCTAAGACATATATTAAAGCCCAAGATATTAACCCTGTGAGTGGAAATGAAGCATGAAGCTGACATCTTCCCACTGTGTCCTGGAGCGTTTTCTGACAATTCTGGTCCCAGAGCCATGGTCACTTGAGGTGTTCATTTTAAGGAAGTCTGTTGAGATATTCTAATAGCAAAGTGCAGAGTGTTATAGTTATTGAAAAACAAAATGCTGAGACAAGCATCCTTTCATTTTAAAATTGAGTGTTATATCAATAGTCATTAGCATTGTGAAAGAGATGCAATTGAGTAGAGGCAATTTACATCTGGTTGGATATTTTTCATTAGCATCTATATCCATTACCTTGAATTATGGGGAATGATACAGCCAACCCATGTCGCAATGAATGTGGGGAATTATTTTCTTGTTTGATCCTTTGCAGATGGTAGGTTTTTATTAGCTCTCCACATGCTTTAGTATATTTGCTTTTTAAAATGCTAATTCTAGCTTATGATTGATTTAGATTTAAATGCACAGACAGTGCCTCTTCACTAGATGAAGAGGCTAAGAAGGAAATGGATGTTTACCAGTTATTAAGAATGGCTATTTAAAGAGTCACTTGATGAAAGTGAAAGAGAGGAGTGAAAAAGTTGGCTTAAAACTCAACACTCAAAAAACTAAGATCATGGCATCTGGTCCCATCACTTCATGGCAAATAGAGGGGAAGACAATGGGAACAGTGATAGACTTTATTTCTGGGGGCTCCAAACTCACTGCAGAAGGTAATTGCAGCCATGAAATTAAAACATGCTTGCTCCTTGGAAGAAAAGCTATGACCAACCTAGACAGAATATTAAAAAGCAGAGACATTACTTTGTCACCAAAGGTCTGTCTAGTCAAGGCTATGGTTTTTCCAGTAGTCATGTATGGATGTGAGAGTTGGACTATAAAGAAAACTGAGTGCCGAATATTTGATGCTTTTGAACTGTGGTGTTGGAGAAGACTCTTGAGAGTCCCTTGGACTGCAAAGAGATCAAACCAGTCAATCCTAAAGGAAATCAGTCCTGAATATTCATTGGAAGAACTGATGCTGAAGCTCCAATACTTTGGCCACCTGATGCGAAGAACTGATTCATTTGAAAAGACCCCAGTGCTGGGAAAGATTTAAGGCAGGAGGAGAAGGGGACGGCAGAGAATGAGATGGTTGGATGATGTTACTGACTCAATGGACATGAGTTTGAGCAAGCTTCAGGAGTTGGTGAAGGACAGGGAAGCCTGGCGTGCTGCAGTCCATGGGGTCGCAAAGTCAGACACGACTGAGTGACTGAACTGAACTGAAGAATGGCTATTTAGAATTAAAGATAAAATTTATATAATCATCTCAATAAATGCTGAAAAAACATTTGATGAAATTCAGCATCTTTTCTGTATAAAAATCTTAACAAATTAGGTATAGAAGGAACGTACGTCAATGCAATACATACAAAAAATCCGCAACTAACATCACACTCGACAAGGAAAGGTTGAAAACTTTCCTGCTAGGACCAGGTACAAGACAAAGGCATCCACTTTCTCTACCCCCATTCAACGTAGTACTGGAAGTCCTAGTTAAAGGGATTACACAGAAAGGGAAATAAAAGTCATTCTAATGAAAGGGAAGAAGTGGAAGTGTCTATTTGCAGTGATATGATCTTACAGATAGAAAATCTTAAAGACTTCACCAAAAAAATGCTAGAACTAATAAAGTCAGTAAAGTTGCATATAAAAATACGTTGCGTTTCTATACACTAACAATGAACTGTTGGAAAAGTTAGTTTTTCTCTGAGTTCTACGAGTAAAAAGGATGGCTATTTATGTTACTTTCTTGACTTGCATTACTGTTTGCTTTTTCTAAATTTTTTAAAGCAATTATAAGGTCTCATTAAGGCTGAGGGAGTCCCCATGGATAGAGGATGTGGAAACTCATGTATATTTCTACCTGCAGCTCACGGTAGGCTTGAAAGGTGAAAAAGGCTCTCCTGGACGCCAAGGCCCTCCTGGACGGAGAGTAAGTACACTCATGAGTACTAAGTACCGTGGGGCTTCCTAGGATGCCCAGTGCAACAGGCACAGAACATAAAGTCAGAAGCATTGGATTCAAGTCCAGGTTCTGTTTCCTGCTGCCTGGGGGCCCTTGGATGGGTCCCTGGGCCTATTAGTTTCCTTCTAAGATGGTAATGATGTGTCCTGTTTGAACCACCTCAAAAGATAGCTGTGAGGCTCAGATAATCAACTGTGAATGCTCTTTGTAAACTATAAAATTTCAATACAAATATGAGCTATGACTGTTAATTTTTACTGAGGCTTTAAAATAGAGATAGAATTGCTTAAGCTTCATTAAGGCGTCCTGACAAGTTGATAAGAGTTTCCCAAGCCACTGTTGTTACTTTCCTGAACTCATGATTTCAATGCTAAAGAGATTTGGAGGTAAAATTGCCACTTTGCTCTGTGATTGAATTATGAGGGATTCAGTTCCCTCTAGAAGCATTCCTGAGCAGAGCCAGGCACATCTCTCTCTGGCAAGATATCCACATCTCAATTTTAGTGCCTTTTGTTTTACTGTGATGACTTATTAACCTGTTTCTCCCCTCCTAAACAGAACAGTCAAGTAAGAGCTAAATGTTGCCCATGCCTGTTTCGTGTGTGAGGTGCAGAAAGCAGTGTGTGAAGGGGAGGAGCAACTGCTTACTCTTGTTTTGTGCAGTTTTGTGACTGTTTTCTGACTACCTGGAGGCATTCTTTAACTTGCCACTTTATAAAGAAAACAAAAACATGCATCTTTCATGGAAAACCGAGTCTGTAGTAGAATGAGAATCAACTAGAGTAAAGGATAGTCTGATATAATCTTTTCTTTTGCATGAAGGAACTAGTGACTATTCTTAGGCACGTGGGTGAGAATCGAGTTCCTGGGTCAATCTGGCCTGGTCTCCTTTCCAGATTCTGGAGCTCGCCCTGGGGGTCCCACGTCTTCCTGCTCTTGTGCTTGGCCGTGCTGATCTAGACTGTGGCTTCTCTGTCTCAGGCCTGTGGCCCTTAGCTTCTCTTGAAGAAGTTGCTCCAAGTTATTCTTAAATTCAGTCTTTTGGGACCTACTCTCTACTGTCTGATCTTCTGTAGGATGTGGGCTGTCTATCCTATTCATTAGTTGGAAACTGTTCCCCCTTCTGTGTAAAAGGCTGTGCATTCTTCTCTGTTTTCTGCTGTCACTTGTAAAGGGAAGAATGAGATTCTGCAGCCTTTAGTGAGAGGCATATTTCCTGATTTAGATCAGGAAGAAAATACGCCCCCAGAGGGTAAGATCATGGATGCCATCACAGTTCAGTGTAACAGTAGCAACACACAGAGGGGCACCTCAGCCCTCAGCAGACGTTTAGCTGTTCATTGGGTGGGTGGATGGATGGACGGACGGATGGACGGGTGCTCAAGTTATCATTTAGAAAGAGGTTCTTTCACTGACATCAGTAGTTGAGCTTCTGGTGGGAGAGTCAGTGTGACTCATCTCACCCGATTATCTGTACTCCTTCCATCCAACACCTTCCAGGATTTACGGGCTCAGAGTGCATGCTCTCCTTCTGTGTAGCATCCATTCTGCTATGTAATTGCCTTTTTCACATATGGGGTGGCTGCGTGCTGCTGCCATAAATTTAAATATACTTCAGTAAATGTCTCTCCTTCATGCTATTTCTTGGGAAGCTTACTGCTTGTAATTTTAAGTATTCTTATGAGAAATGCCTTCTAAATGTTCTATCTGCAGTACATATATCTTTAAAAAATACTTTTGTTTCTTTCCTTCTCCTCATCCTAGAAAAGTCATTCAGTTCAGTCCAGGTAGATATTAGCTTAATTGATCAAATGCTGAAACAGAAAGGTTTATACTCCTTGTGTGTGTCAGGAAATAGCGTTGAAGACTCCAGTTCTTCTACTAATAACTTGTTCTGTGTTTGTTTTCCTAGGGTCCTAAAGGGATGGCAGGGCAGCCCGTATATTCTGTATGTATCTCATTATTCATGTACACAAAAAAATGCAACCCGTCCCCTGGGAAATGAATACAGCCACTTGGAAGTCATCATGCTCATGTTTTTTTTTCTCTCTCCTTTTCCACGTACAGCAATGTGATCTAATCCAGTTCATGCGGGACCACAGTCGTGAGTATCTGTGTGTCTTAGGGCATCGGTGCTTGGTGAGGGCACTTAGGACGAAAGCCGTGTGGGGACGCAGAACTAGTAGGCTGGACTCGCTGGTGGAGAAGCCCCATGTCCTCAGCAGCAGGCTTGCTGTGAGTGCCTGCTGCGGGAACAGCTCATGACAAAGGTGGAAGGGAAAGACACATGCCTTAGCTCAGAGGTGTACTTTCTAGAGGGAGAAAAAACACGCCTGTGAAATACGATGTGACCAACTCAAAAGGTGTGTGACTTAGCTCACACTAGGATAGCAGTTATGTACCAAGGCCTGGAGGGCATGATGTGAAAGGGATGAACATGGTGGTTTGAGGTTATATATATGCTGTTGCTGTTTGCTTGCTCAGTCATATCCCGTGTCCGACTTTTTGTGACCCAATGGATTGAGGCCCACCAGGCCCCTCTGTCCATGGGATTTCCCAGGCGAGAATACTGGCGTGGGTTGCCATTTCCTTCTCAAGGGGATCTCCCTAGTCCAGAAATTAAATCCAAGTCTCCTGCATTGGCAGGCAGATTCTTTCCCACTGAGCCACCAGGGAAACCCCTATATGTACACACACACACACACACACACACACACACACACACACACCCCACACTAGAAACAAATATGAGAAGAGAAATTGGGGAAATGTAGCCATGTATTATATTAGGGTGGTAGACTTTTTTTTTATATTAGGGTGGTAGACTTTTATGTGGTTTTTCTTTCTTTGTGTTTCCATTGTGGTTTATAGTCATGCTACACAATCACAATCAGAGGAATGGAAAATCCGAGAGACTTACTGAAGGAAATTAGATAAAAATGTAGTCGTTGCAGGTATATGGCCAGCAAAGACCAACAGCAGAATCAAGTTTAAAATACCATAAGGCCAGATGGGGAGAGGTTTGGTACCACCGTGGATGAACAGACAGAGGAAGAATTATGAAGAAAATAGATTGGTAGGAAGAGGTGATGAGTTTCCACATTTCAGAGGGAAAGGAATGCTGTGCAGACCCTAAAGTGAAATAATCTACAGGCAGCTGATAAAATAGAGTCCTCTAAAGGTGAGAATCAAGGAAGAAACTCAGAAAGCTGGAGTCACTAATGTCCAAAGAGCCTCAGGGATGGATGAGATTCCCAAGAATGTGCAACTTGAGAGACAGACATGGAAACCCAAGGGATGAACCCGGGGAGTTGCCCTAGCAAAAAGAGTGGACCTAACCCCAGAAAACTGGCATTGCAGAGAGTCCTGCCAAGTTTGAGCAGCTTGGGGAAAGGCAGCAAGCAGTCAATGGAGAGAGCTCCTAAGTGAGGTGTTGGGTGGGGCAGGGCAGGGAACCCATGTCAAAGATGTTCCTGGAGAGCTGAAAGGCTCTCCAGCACGGTGAGGAGGTGAGAACCAGCCCCAGGCAGGGAGAGAACAAGGGGAGAGCCACTGTGGAGAGAAGAGTGTGTGACCCAATCAAGGACGACCCGAGAGGGAGATGGGGTAGGGAGGTGAGCGCCCGCCTTGGAGGATTTGGGCTTTGAAGGGCACTTCCCAACACTGCATGGAAGGAGTTAGTCAGGAAGTTTGGTGGTGGGGAGGGAGTGGGCAGGGTTTGTAACCAGACCATGAGCTACAGAATGCAGGACTGAGATGGAGAAAAAGACATGTGGAGCTAATTCAGACGGCCTTCCTTGATGGCTGATACCCAAGGTCCCGCAAGGTTGGAATCCTGCTCCACTGGGGTTGTTCTTCAGCCCTAGGACAGCTCTAGCCACACCAGGATGAGGGCCGGGGCCCTGGGCTAGTGGGTGGCACCTTTCCCCAGAATAAAATAAGATCTGGAAGGCTGTGGAGAATGGGGAGAGAAAGCGGTGGTTGGAATAACGTAGGAGGGCCCTAGTAATCAGAGTGTTAGAAGAAGAGACAAAATAAACAGGACTTTCAGGAAAAACTAAATATAAAACAGGAAACACAGCGAAAGAAGTCAAGTAGTTTCTCCAAAGTCACGCAGCTTTGCCAGACTGAAACCAGACAAAAGTGTTTGTTCCTAGAGTCTGTGCTTCTAGCGTCGCAGCTGGGCTGGAGGTTAACCAATGGGACTTCTCAGTCAGAAAAAGGAAACTATTTCAGGCCCAGAGATGCAGAGGAGGCGGTGGGCCCCGTGTGCCCTCTGCTGACCCTCAGCATCTCAGCAGCTGCAGGATAAAGACAAACAAACGTGCTCATAGGATTGATGTGAGGGGGTGCGGGCTGTGGGCCTGCCAGCTGACAGCTGGGTTGTTGCCAGGGCTAGTAAAGTTTTTTAGTGTCTTGGAGTGATCATTCGCTTCCAGGGTGTTGAGTAAAAGGAGCATGGAAATTGTTAGGCTTGTTCTTAAAGATTTACCAGTATTTCCCCCTGATTCATCTCACACTTACCAAGCAAATCATTTGGAGAAACCAGATGCTCAGAAGAAAGCCTTGGGTGTTCCTTCTGTCTGAATATGGAGATCACTCAAACACAGGAGCTTTTTTTTTTTTTTTTAAGCAGAGACAAAATTCATTTGGAAATCCCCACAGTTCTGCAGAAAAATAGAGCTACCCAAGGTGTTCATCAAGGAAGACAAGAAGACCCCATATTTTAGTCCTGCCTTGCTGAACGGTTCTCAGAAGGCTGTAAAAAAAGAGACAAAACAAATTTAATTTTAGCTATCATGCCATTTGATCAGAGGCTCACCTGTTCTGTTTCTAAAACAAGTGACCAGTGATTAAAATTTCAACCAGAGTTCTGCTAATGTCCGCTGGCCAGGGCTCGCAAGGAGGAAAGGTCAGGAAGATCCATAAAATAGTAGAATTCTGTGTCCATCCTCCTCTCACTTTTAACCTTGACCTCCTGTAATTAGGAATTAGCATCATTTGCAATAAGAGCTAAACAGAATACTAAGTTTTGTTGAAATTTTGTTTTGGGGGTTATTTTTAGTCTGAGTTCCAAAAATGTAACAGACTCTTTCTCTCTCTCTCCTTTTTATAGCTTGTTGGAAAGGTGAGTATTCTTACCATATTATGTTTCTTGCTGAACTATTTACTGCATTCTGACAAGCCCATATACACACTACTGTATATAAGACACATAACCAACAAAGACACTGTATAGTACAGAGAACTCTGTTCAGTATTTTATAATAACCTATAAGGGAAAAGAATCTGAATATATATATTTATATATTGATGTATAAATGAATCACTTTGCTGTATGCCCAAAATGAACACGACATTGTAAATCAACTACACTTCAAAATATAATAAAATAAGAGTAAAGATAAATGGGCTAAAGATTTGAATAAGCACTTCATAAAGGAAAAAAAAAAAACTCTCATCCCCATGAGAAAAGGGATTTCTGACTTCTTGGTAGATGTGTATTATGACTGTAACTGTACACGTCATGTTTGGACCTGACTATACAATGCTGACCACCTGGGCCCCAGCCCCTTCGCAAGCTGTTCTTTGGAACTGCCACAGTTTCCAACCCCTTTCCTTCACGGGGTAGGTTCTGCGCCGCTGAGCAGTTCAGGGCAAGGCCAGGTGTCTGACCACATTCTGTTGCTCCATCTGCTGCTAAGTCTGTGGACACTGGCACCTTGGGTAGGTAATGATTCCTTTCCTCCATTTGTCCTCCATTCACACCTCTCACCTCCACGTGTTCCCCGCTTGTCAGCCTGACCTGGAAGACAGAGGAGGATCTTCCAGGGCATCGACTGCAGCTGGCGTTCAGTGACCCCTCAGATGACGTTGCCCCTGAAACCAGTTAGATCTACTCCAAGACCTCCTGGTCTCCTAGCGGCTTGTTGAGATAGATTAACAGGGTCTTTGAGCTCATCCCAAAGTTTGGTGCCATTTCCTTTAATCCCCCCCAAAATCTGATGTCTAAGAGCTCAATAAAATTTCATGGATTTGAATTAAATTTATCAGGTACCATGCTGGCACTAGGAAAGGGAGAGATGAAAAATAAATGGAAATTGGTAGTGCCTTCTGGGGATATCTGTGATGATGCATCGTCTATGAAGACGCTTATCTACCATTTTGTTAAGCATTTTTACTATAAGGTTAAGAAATATGTGCTACAGTCCATGAGGTTGCAAAAAATCAGACATGACTTCACAACTGAACGAGAAACAAGACATCATTTATCTCATTTTCTTTTTCATTGTTGGGTTTCATATTTTTAAAATTTCTTCAAAGTAAAATGTCTTGATTCAAAACACAGTCTTGAAATCAACACTTTCTCCTCTATTTCTATTACTGAGAATAGCAGCTGGGAGATGGGATACTTTAAATTTAATGTGCTTTGGGAGTAAGCCAGATTGGGGAGAGTAAAACAGCCTGTGTACATGGAGGGTTGGCTAATTTTTAAATAATTTCTTTTTCTCTTCCTGTGTCCAGACTTTAACAAGGCCTTTATTTATAATCATAGAGGAGATTCCCTGTGAAATTTCCAAAGTGCAGTTATCATCAAACCATTAGGACTGAGTTGGGGATTACAGGCAGCTCAATGCAGGTCTGCAGTGGTCCACTATGCTGCCCCTTCTTCCTGCCACCCTGGCTGTCATCCCAAAGCCCCTGAAATCCCCTCTCCCTAGAAACAGCCTCTTTGTCCTCTGAAGAATAATCCCCAAGAAGAATAATGATCACTGTCTACCTTTCAGTATCATGATCCTCCGGAGACAAGTTCCTCAAAGGTAGACCTGTGTTTGTTCATCTTCACATGTATCTCACAGGGCATGTTACCCTGCATTTCACATGATGAATATTCAGATATTTGCCACATAAATGGATGAAAATCTTCCAACTGACTTTATCATTATTAGTAGGTCATTTCTGAAGGTTTTTTTTTTTAAGGAGAATAAGCTTTCAGATTTTCTGAAAAGCCATAGTTTCCTTTTAAAATTTTCCATAGAGTAAAATTCACTCTTTTGTCCAGTTTTTACACATGCATGATTCGTGTAATCATCACCACAATCAGGATACAGGGTAATTCCACCAGCCCAAACACTCCTTCCAGTTTCTCTTTAAATAGAAGACAGATGGTAGATGGTGAAGTCTGAGCATTATATTGCCAGATATCACTACTCTGCATTTAGGTAACACTTTAAGCTAACAAAGCAGAATCCTTCCCCCCCTTTACATGTGGATAGCTCTGATTCTAGATTTGATGTGACAGCTGCGTTTTCCCAGACCTCAGTGTCAACTGTCTCACTGGAGTAAATGGAATTGGAAAGCCTTCTGACCCAGTGAAACAGCTTAACGCTTCTGACTTACTTTTGTAGAAAAGTGTCCTGTGTATCCAACAGAGCTGGTATTTGCCCTGGACCAGTCCAACGGTATCACAGAGCAGAGATTTAATGAAATGAGGGACATCATCACTTCTATTGTCAGCGACCTCCACGTCAGGGAAAGTAATTGCCTTGTGGGAGCAAGAGTTGTTGTGGTTTCCTACAACTCGGGCACCGACTACCTCATCCGTGGGTCTGACTACCGTAACAAGAAGCAGCTTCTTCAGCTACTCTCCCAAATAAAATATCAAAACTCCGGGGAAGTCCGAGACATTGGGAATGCGATGAGGTTTGTGGCTCGGAACATCTTTAAGCGGACGTCTGCGGGAGCCAATGTGCAGAGAGTTGCTGTGTTTTTTAGCAACGGACAAGCTGCAAGTAGGTCATCCATCATCACGGCCACCATGGAGTTTAGCGCCTTGGGTATCAGTCCTGCAGTCTTCGCTTTCAATGAGAAGGTTTACCTCGATGAGGCTTTTGGGGTAAGTACCTCCCTTGGCAATGTCTTTGTTTTTAGATAATGGTACTGGCAGAATAGGAATACTGGGGAGTAGGAATCAAGTGGCCTCTTGGCCCCCTGTACAATTTTCATAGCTGTCTTGTTGCCAGAGTACTTGGAATCCAATTTCTAGTAAACACGGAACTGAATGCATGTTATCTCCACTGAAAAATTGAGAAACCGAGTCCCAGATTGTTGAGTGACTTCTCCCATTTTGTACAGTTACTAAGTGGCTAAATCAAGCTCTGAGCTTGAGTTTGTCTGATAGAGAGGACTGTCGGTCTTCTGCTGACCTAGTACTTCTCAAATCTGCCATCTGTTGGCTGTGTCTCATTGAGCACCTGGTCTTAACCTGTGATGGGTGAAGTTTAAGGGAGTTTTGAACCCTTTAATGTTGTGTAAAATTTTGATGTGTATGAACCTTTTTCCCAAGAGGAGTTCTGTCCCTTTTGGATTCACAGATTCTCATGGGCTCTGTGCTTCCCTCTTTCTCCCACCAAACATAAGAACTTCTCCATCTACTGTTCTACTGTTATAAAATATGTTCATATTAACCATGAAATATATGCTTCTGAAGTTGGGGGAAGCCATTATGTTGCCCAAGAGATTATAAGGATCTATTTTACACAAATACATATGTGTGAGAACATGCTAATTCGCTTTAGTTGTGTCCAGCTCTTTGTGATCCTATGGACCCTAGCCCATCAGGTTCCTCTGTCCATAGGATTCTCCAGGCAAGAATACTGGAGTGGGTTGCCACGTCCTTCTCCAGGGAATCTTCCTGACCCAGGGATCAAACCCACATCTCTCACATGTCCTGCATTGGCAGGCGGGTTCTTCTTCACTAGTGCCAACTGGGAAGCCCACAAATACATATATTTCTACTATAAAAAGAAAAGCTCTCCATAACATGAAGAGATTTAATCTGCTCACAAGAAAAATAGAATTTTTTTTTGAAAATAGGAGCCATAGAGTCACAGTAGATCCTGACAGAAAGAATTGTAGGAAGTTAAAGTATTTTTATAAAAATATTACCTCCCCATATAGATTATTTACTTATTTGTTTTCTTATGGTATGTGTCCTCCCACTGGACTATAGGGTAGAGGGATCATCTGCTTTGTCTATTTCTGTATCCACAGCACCTAGAATAGTACCTATTTAACATTGTATGTGCTCAATGAATATTTGTTGCATGAAATGCATGTGACTGACTCCTGTGAATAAACTTCCTTGATTTACCAGGGTTGCAATTAATGTTTTGGGCTTCCCTGATAGCTCAGTTGGTAAAGAATCTGCCTGCAATGCAGGAGACCCCAGTTTGATTCCTGGGTCAGGAAGATCCGCTGGAAAAGTGATAGGCATTTAATGTTTAACACAGGGGAGCAGCAAGATCAATACAAAATTATCCCAAAGCATCCAGTTTCATAAAAATTAGACAGTAGAAATGTAGTAGCTACTTTCTAACTATAAGGCTGGAATGATTATAAATATTTCAAAATACTCAGCACTTTACAGAAAAACAGAGGGGCTGGTTTTTCTAATCTGTTAATTTCTTGAGGGGGAAGAAACAAAAGCACGAGCATGTCTGTGGATTGAGAGATCCATTCATCACCTGAGAATGATTTATTTCTTTCAAATAATCAAAGTATCTGTGATGCATTGTGCTTCATACAAAGTAAATGCCCAATATATAGTCATTGAGTCACTGAATGAATAAGTGAATGAATAAATTGAAGTGTGGTTGATTTACATATTGTGTTAATTTCTGCTGTACTGCAGAGATCCAGTTCTCCATAGAGAGTCATTCTTTTTCCATTGTGGTTTATCACGATGTTGAATATAGTCTCCTGTGCTATACAGGAGGCTCTTGTTGTCTATCCATCCTATATATAGTAGTTTGCATCTGATAACCCCAAACTCCCCATCTGTCCCTCATCTGCACCCCCTCGGCAACCACCAGTCTTTTCTCCGTGCCTATGGGTCTGTCTCTGTTTTGTGCATGTGTTCATCCGTGCTGTGTTTTAGATTCCACATATAAGAGATATGATATTTGTCTTTCTCTAGGTCCATCCCTATTGCTGGAAATGGCATTATGTCATTCTTTTCTATGGCTGAGTAGTATGGAATAGGCTTTTTTTCTTTTGAACTTTTTATTTCATATTGGGGTATAGCCGATTAACAATGTTGTAATAGTTTCCGGTGAACAGTGAAGGGATGTATGACTGGAATAGACTTCGAGTTGGAAGTTGTGATCAGAGAAATCCAGTTGACATCTGAAAGATGCACCTTTTTCTATTCATAGATAGCATAATTGGGTGGAGATAGTGGTGTGCGTGCATGCTAAGTCACTTCAGTTGTGTCTGACTTTGCAAGCCTATGGGCTATAACCTGCCAGGTTCCTCTGTCCATGGAATTCCCCAGGCAAGAATACTGGAGTGGGTTGCCATGCCCTCCTCCAGGGGATCTTCCTGACCCAGGGATGGAACCCACATCTCATGTCTGCTGCATTGGCAGGTGGGTTCTTTACCACTAGCGCCTCCTGGGAAGCCCAGAAATAGTTGGGATCACTACTTAAAGAAGTCAAAGGTAACTTGTGAATGTAAAATTTCTACAGGACCCAACTCCAGAAGCTGATAGATAGCACATAATTAGCTGGTACATGATCAGAAATGTGTAAAACTTCAATGCAGAATTGCAGGCTTGGAGACAGGGATGAGGTTTTAATACCTAACCCAGTGAGTGAATCTTGTGGTTATCTTGTGGTAGTTTTCTTATAAAATTGAGCTGCTGATACAGTTTCTGTGTTTCCTTCAGTTATGTTTAGGATCAAAGGGGGGTAGTTTTGTGTGTGTGTATGTGTTTGTATGCGTGTGCATACATGAAGATGCACAGAATAGAGCAGTGAGCAACAATGCAAGGTGATGGTGACCAGTGAGGTGTCACAACTCAACTCTTGAAGTGGGTGCACAGTGAATTCTTGATAATGTTACCAAGTCCAAGCTTGCTCTGCTGTTGAACAACAGGCCAGTAAATCTGGAGACAAGGTGTTGAGGTGAGTTATAGTGACTTTATTTGGAAAACTAGCAGACCAAGAAGATGGCAGACTAATGTCCCAAAATAACCCCCAAAAAGCCTTCTTATTGGGGTCTGAAGGCCAGTTTCTTCTACAGAACACAGAGGGGGGATGGGAGGTGAGGAAGTAAGGTAAAAAGGCCATTAATCTTGCAAATATCTCCTGGAATGGTCAGCCTCAGGTAGGGGATGTGTTAATTTCTTCTTTCTTGCAGCCACTCACAGGTGGACAGAATCACCTGTGACTCTGAACAAAGACACTTTGGTTTAACACACAGGCAGATGGGTCAGGGTTCCCCAAGGCAATTATGTATGGACAGTATCCTTTCAGTGAACAAGCAATGGGAAGCAAATGTTAAAGTTAAAGAAACAGATTCTTCCCTGTAACAATGATGACTAAAGACCACTACAATATTGTGAAGTAATTAGCCTCCAACTAATAAAAATAAATGAAAAAGAAAGATAAAACAATCAAATGAGCATATATTTCTTTTTCAATGCAGTTTGACAACACAGGAACATTTCAGGTGCTTTCTGTTCCTCCAGACGGGGAATATGATCCATTAGAAAGGCTTCGGCGCTGTACACTTTGCTATGGTAAGACTAATGAAAAGAATTTATTGGGCTGAAACACTTAAATGCCTTCTGGGTGAGTTATTAAATCTATCTTTATCAAAGATTTTTGATTGTAGATTCTATTTTAAGTTTTCCAGTCATTCAACACCATATGTCAGGGTTTCAATCTCTGTAATGTTGGAAGTTTCCATAGAATGTAAAAATTAGTTTAGAAGATTATCCCAATCGATTTTGCTCTTCCTGGGGACAATTTGATAGTTTGTATCAAAGGCTTCTAAAATATTAAAAATATTTTCTAAATGAGTTTGGACATGAATCATAGACTTCAAATATACCTGTTACTTATATCTACTTTCATCAAAGATGTTCCCAAGTTGTCTGCTAGTGGTCATAGAAACTATGAGGAAGTTGAAAATTCCTTATTAATTTAAATGATGAAGATTGAAGTTGAAGAGGTATTGATTAGATGATTGATTTTTGATAATCAGTTTCTTATTCATTGGAAGGTCTCAACCAACAGTGTCTCCTTGTGCCAACAATGAACCAATGATGAACCTCTATGTTTTCAGATAAATGTTTTCCAGATACTTGCAAGAAAGAAATTGTCTTACCTGAAAGTTCATACATGGATGTTGCCTTCCTCTTAGACAATTCTAGGAACATAGCAAGTGATGAGTTTAAGAATGTGAAAGCCTTGGTGAGCTCAATGCTTGACAACTTTGACATTGCCTCGGACCCTATAATCTCAGACTCTGGTGATAGGATTGCCTTGTTGAGCTATGCTCCTTGGGATAGGAGACAGAAGAATGTGGTAAAAACAGAGTTTGAGTTTACAACTTATAACAGTCAAGCTCTAATGAAAAGGTACATTGAGGCTGACCTCCAGCAGCTAAATGGAGAAGCCACCATTGGTCATGCCCTACTGTGGACCGTGGAGCATCTCTTCCCAGCAACACCCAAGCTAAGAAGACACAGGGTCATCTTTGTGGTCTCTGCTGGAGAAAACCGTGAGAGAAGGGAATTCTTAAAGAAGATGGCTCTGAGGACCAAGTGTCAAGGTTATGTCATATTTGTGATTTCCCTGGGTTTGACAACCAAGGAGGACATGGAGGAGCTAGCCAGCCACCCACTTGATCACCACCTGATACAGCTTGGGAGAATTCATAAACCAAATCTGGATTATGTTGTGAAGTTTTTAAAGCCATTTGTGTACTCAGTGAGACGTAAGTCACTATTTTTTTTTAACCTCTTTGTTTTAATAAATTAGTGTTTGTTAATAGTGTTGATAACCCAAGATATCTCTGTATCTATAGCTTACCAAAATATATGAATTAGCTGGTGACAGGGTGACAGGAATAGGACACATCTTGGTTATACCCTATTTATACCTGGGTCATGATACCGCTTTCATGATAGAATGTCTCTTAGCCAAAATCTCAGCACGATAAAGCACAGAGTGACTTCAGATCTCCTAAACTGCACTTACTCACCCTAGATAAGTTCTTGCAGCTCTTATGTGGTCTGCAGGTTGAACATTTAAATAAAAGTTTTCCCTGCTACACCTGGTTTATTTTCAATCTTGGCATGCCTTGAGACCTGTGTGAGAGTGCTGCTCCCCCAAAGTCTAATTACAAATCACACAGGAATCTTGTTAGAATGCAGGTTCTGATTCAGTACATGTAGGGTGGATCCTGAGATTCCACACATGCCTGGAGACCTGTGTGAGAGTGCTGCTCCCCCAAAGTCTAATTACAAATCACACAGGAATCTTGTTAGAATGCAGGTTCTGATTCAGTACATGTAGGGTGGATCCTGAGATTCCACATTTCTAACAGGCTTCTCAGCGATGTCAGTGCTTCTGGTCCACAGATCATACTTAGAGTAGCAAAGTTCTAGGTCAATGTACTACGAAATGTCACCCATTGGACCAGTGTTAGTCCATAAACTGAAGAGTAAAGAGGGAAATACACAAATTGATAATGAGCATCTAGAAACTCTTAGAGCAATTTGACATGGCCACATTATACAAGTGTAAGAATGTGTACTCTGTCTCACTGAACAAAAGATAAACCAAAAGGATCAGTCTGCAAAGGGCTGGAAATAAAAATACCTTGTCCTTCACCACAAGTGGTTCAAGAAGTGCTCTTTCCGGACAGATCATTCTCAGCTGGGGATGATTTTGCCCCCCAGATAACATTTGGAAATACCTGGAGTCATTTTTATTTGGCACAACTAAGGGAGAGGATACTCCTGGTATTTAGTGGGTAGAGACCAATGCATGCATGCCAAGTCGCTTCAGTTGTGTCCAACTCTTTGTGACCCAATGGACTGTAGCTTGCCAGGCTCTTCTGTCCATGGGATTCTCCAGACAAGCATACTGGAGTGGATTGCCCTGCCCTCCTCCAGGGAATCTTTCCAACCCAGGGGTTGAACTTACTTCTTTTATATCTCCTGCACTGCCAGGCCAGTTTTTTACCACTAACACCACCTGAAGTAGAGACCAAGGAGGCTGCTAAACATCCTACAATGCATTGGATGCTTCCCCCACAACAAGGAACAATCCAGCCCCAAATGTCAATAGCATTAAGGTTGAGAAACCCTGCTCTAGAAGATCCCATAGAATCAGAGCTAAACCTCTTCTTTCTGGGAATCTGCTGGAACCACCAATTCCGCCACCTTAGGATTCCAGAGTCATCCTAGTATTTAAGGAATCTCTAACACTAGCATGGTAACATCTTGGGAGTTCACTCTTCTTTGCAGAAGGAGCTTCTCCTTTTTCCTGCAACCCACATTTGATTGAAGAATTCAATAATTGCCCCTTTTGGAATATCATGTTATTTCTTTTACCCTAAGTCCTTCCATTGTAATGCATCATTATATTATGAAAAATGAAAAAGTACTTCCAAGTAAATGTTGATTTCATGTTAGAGTTTTTTATAGTCATTGAAAGAGTTATTTTAGACAGACTATGATATGTCACTCTTATGCATATATAAAAAGGAAATATACAGGTAGTGCTAGTGGTGAAGAACCCACCAACCAATGTGGCAGACATAAGAGATGCAGGTTCCATCCCTGGGCTGGGAAGATCCCCTGGAGGAAGGCATGGCAACCCACTCCACTATTCTTGCCAGGAAAATCCCAAGAACAGAGGAATGTGGTGGGCTACAGACCATGGGGTCACAAAGAGTCAGACACAGCTGAGCATGCATGCACACATACATGAAATAGACTTGGTTAAAGCATTCTGAAAACTTCTTCTTATTCAAAATTTGATCTTGTGAGTTCTTTCTTAAGAGTCATCAATAGCCATCTTTTCCCACGTGATATTGTTCTTTATGCCATCAAGACCTTTTCTGTCTTCTTTAAAGTTTTTTTATTGGAGTATGTTGTGTTAGTTTCAGGAATATAGCAAAGTGAATGTTATATATGTACATATATGTGCACATACATATACACTTGTTTTTAGATTCTTTTACATACAGGTCTTTGCAGAGTTCCCTTGCTATGCAGTAGGTCCCTATTAGGTATCTACTTTATATATAGTAGTATGTATATGTCAATTCTAATCTCCCAATTTATCTCCCTTCCTCACAATCATCACGGAGCAGCACTTTAAAAAGACTCCACAAAACAACCCCAAACTGGTCTTACTGGCCTGTTAAGTTAGGCTTCACAGTTATTTGAGCTGGCTTATCCATGATTGCCAGCTGAGCCATATTGTTAAAGGTGTGGTATTCACTGCCTTCCCACATCCACTTGATTTGTAGAGGTTAAAAGTCTCTTTTATTACCAAGAGTTTTTTTCCTACAATTCAACACGTTTTGGAGCTGGCATATTTACTGTTCCCACATGTACAGGTGATGACAATGGCTTCACAGTTCCTTCCTCATCAGCAATAACTGTCAACCTCAATTAATTAGAAGACAGTTTCATTTCAAAGAAACAGAAATATTGCTCATCTTAGAACCAGAGAAATATGATTATTATAAAACCATAAGCATTCACAGATGTTTTCATGGTGTGTTTGATCATTCAATGGTCAAAGGTCCCCTTTCACTGAAACTGATTTATTTTCCTGAATAAGGAGGGAAATTATATACTTCTCAGTATCCCACAGTTTATAGAACAATAGGAAGAGGTAAGGATATATTGTGTAGGTAAATAAGCTAAAATCTTTCCTGTGACAATTTTCCTCCTAGGAAATCAGTGTTAATTGGTGCAGAAGCACAGATGTAGCATTATGTAATAAAACATTACATCTTCTGTATTTCAGCTATTAGCATAAGTCTGAGTGAAAAAAGTATTATAGCATCAGAATAAAAATTTCCTTAGACCATGTCAGCCTGAACATATGGAAATCAAGTGTCTCTGCCTCACAATGAACTCTTAAAATCAACAATTTGAGGAGGTCCCTGGTAATTATTTGGCTGAAAAATATTCTATAATCAAACTCTGAATGCTATTTCCAGTTGCTACTGTTCTCACCCCAGCCAAATTGTGCTGAAGTATTTTAGTGACATTTATTGCTTCAAGAAGATTCCTACCGAGATTCTCTTCCCCTTAGCACATACAATTTCTAGTTTAAAATTTAACTATCACTTTCCTCTCTCAATAGGAGGATTCAATCAGTACCCACCACCAGTGCTTGAGAACATCTGCAAACTCATTGATTCAGAAGACGAGGAAGATCAAAACATCGGTCTCCCGTGAGTTAGAAAGCTCTGATATTTATCAGTGACCTTTGAATGACTGAGCGGTGTGTAACTGGCTGATGGCAAGTATTAGGTGGAGGAAGCTGACGAGGTCTCTGGAGAAAGGCTCTTCACATGTTCCACAATCTGCAGCAGAAGTTACACATCAAGCATGCTTTCTGGATTGATGGATTTTATAACAGCCTCATTAGCTTATTGCAGTTTTGCTTTAAACTTCATGGTTTCCTCAGAAATTTCCATATTGAAATTTTACCCCAGAATAGAACCCAGAATTCAGCCTCAACCTACCTCAACCTTACTTCCCATCTCTGCCTATCATGATGCCTATCAGGCCACCCTGGCCTCTTGTCTGCCCTGTGTGAACTGCTGTTTCACCCTTCTGAACCTCTGGTCACACTCCCTGAGACCTTGTTCCTCCCAGTAAAACCCTACCACCCCTCAAGGCCCCGATTGAAGCCGTTAACTCTTCGAAGCCCATCTTTACTCTCAGCCAAAATCCAGAGTTCTTCCTTGCTTAATTCTGTTTTACACCTCTGCTGAGGAGTTTATTACACTCTATCCCATTGTCTTGTCTCACTGAAGCCTGGGGTTCCATGTGATTCATTGTTTCATTCCAAAAACATAGTATGAAAGACCCCATGATATCACTGCATATGTAAATATTTGGTTTTAGTTGCTAAGTCATGTCTGACTCTTCGTGACCCCTTGGACTGTATTCCATCAGGCTCCTCTGTCCATGGGATGTCCCAGGCAAGAATACTGGAGTGGGTTGCCATTTCCTTCGCCAGAGGATCCTCCTGTCCCAGGGATTGGATCCACATCTGCATTGGCAGGTGGACTTTTTTTTTTCCCCCACCACCGAGCCATCAGGGAAGCCTGCACATGTAAACAGTTTTCTTTAATTTTTTTTTTTATGAATGAATATACAAATAATCTGAATGGATCATGAACCTCAGCTAGAATGAGAATTTAGCTTATTTGGTTGCTCTGTGCTTCTCCATTTCACAGACCTTGGATCCCTGACTGTAGCCTGTGGAAGTTCAGAGTTAGGCTCATAAAGGCCCTGACTGATCACATTGCAATTAAGGAAAGAGCTTCTCAGAATAGATGCAGTCTTTCCCATATATCCAGGAGCAAAACGGGAAGATTAAAGTGTTCCTGTTGTGTCGGTAGTTTAACAAGGAGCATCCATCAGTTCACACGTCCTGAAGGACAATATGGCACTGATGCCCTGTGAGCAGTGTTTCCTGATGTGGAGTAGACAATAATCTTATTTAAAGGAAGATCCATTCTTACAGAACTATATTCTAATATACTGTCATTTAGGCATGTACAAAAATAAGCTAGCTGCAAATACCATATGTGTCTAGTTCCTAAGCAACTCGCAAACAAAAACAAATTTATACATCAAACCCAAGGAAATTCAGGAAGACACTAATTTAGTGTATTGGATGATTCTGTTTTGCCAAAATAGAATTCCTAAAAACAAAAAAGCATTTATAGCCAAGACATGGAAGTAAACTAAATGTCCTTTGACAGATGAATGGTTAAAGAAGATGTGGTACACACACACACACACACACACACACACACACACACTGGAATATCACTCAGCCATAAAAAAAAAAAAGCAATACCATTTGTGGCAACATGAATGGACCTGGAGGTTATCATACCAAGTAAAGTAAGCCAGACCATCAGTATCAATGCAAATGTAAACATGGATTTGAAATTGCATATAGACCCCTGGTAGCTTAGAGGGTAAAGCGTCTGCCTGCAATGAGGGAGACCTCGGTTTGATCCCTGGGTAGGGAAGATCCCCTGGAGAAGGAAATGGCAATCCACTCCAGTGTTCTTGCCTGGAGAATCCCATGGACAGAGGAACCTGGTAGGCTGCAGTCCATGGGGTTGTAAAGAGTCAGCCACGACTGAATGACTTTCACTCACTCACTCATAGAACCATTAATAAAATAAGAATAAAATTATATTGAATTTGTTTTTATAATCATCTAAATAAAAGCAAAAATATTTCCAAGCTATCATTCTTACTCCAAAGAATGTAAAAGTAAGCACCATTTTAGGAGGAATAATGTCAATGAGATATGCTTTATATAGCCTTATTCCTCTCAGGGTAGTTGATAGTAACTTAAACAACTATATTCTAGGTTTTCTGTGGAGACTGATATCAATCTGAGACACATTATTTGGTTTTCCTAAGTAACCTATGAGTTTCTTGTCATTTATCCAAAACTCAGTGACAAATTCAGTTTAGTTCAGTTGCTCACTCATGTCTGACTCTTTGCGACCCCAAGGACCACAGCACGCCAGGCCTCCCTGTCCATCACCAACTCCTGGAGCTTGCTCAAACTCATGTCCATTGAATCAGTGATGCCATCTAACTATCTCATTCTCTGTCGTCCCCTTCTCCTCCTGCCTTCAATCTTTCCCAGCAACAAGGTCTTTGAGTCAGTTCTCATCAGGTGGCCAAAGTATTGGAGTTTCAGCTTCAGCATCAGTCTTTCCAATGAATATTCAGGACTTATTTTCTTTAGGATGGACTGGTTGGATCTCCTTGCAGTCCAAGGGACTCTCAAGAGTCTTCTCCAACACCACAGGTCATAAGCATCAATTCTTTGTTGCTCAGTTTTCTTTATAGTCCAGCTCTCACATCATGCATGACTACTGGAAAAGTCATAGCCTTGACTAGACAGAACTTTGTTGGCAAAGTAATGTCTCTGCTTTTTAATATGCTGTCTAGGTTGGTCATAACTTTCCTTCCAAGGAGTAAGTGTATTTTAATTTCATGGCTACAGTCACCATCTGCAGTGATTTTGGAGCCCCAAAAAATAAAGTCTGACACTGCTCCCACTGTTTCCCCATCTATTTCCCATGAAGTGATGGGACCAGATGCTGTGATCTTAGTTTTTTGAATGTTGAGTTTTAAGCCAGCTTTTTCACTCTCCTCTTTCACTTTCGTCAAGAGGCTCTTCAGTTCCTCTTCACTTTCTGCCATCAGGGTGGTATCATCTGCATATCAGAGGTTATTGATATTTCTCCCGGCAATCTTGGTTCCAGCCTGTGCTTCATCCAGCCCAGCATTTCTCATGATGTACTCTGCATATAAGTTAAATAAGCAGGGTGACAATATACAGCCTTGACGTACTCCTTTCCCAATCTGAAACCAGTTTGTTGTTCCATGTTCGATTCCAACTGTTGATTCCTGACCTGCATACAGATTTCTCAGGAGGCAGGTCAGGTGGTCTGGTATTCCCATCTCTTTAAGAATTTTCCACAGTTTGTTGTGATCCACACAGTCAAAGACTTTTGTGTAGTCAATAAAGCAGAAGTAGATGTTTTTCTGGAATTCTCTTGCTTTTTCTATGATCCAACAGGTGTAGGCAATTTTGATCTCTGGTTCTTCTGCCTTTTCTAAATCTAGCTTGAAAATCTGGAAGTTCTCGGTTCATGTGCTGTTGAAGTCTCACTTGGAGAATTTTGAGCATAACTTTGCTAGCGTGTGAGATGAGTGCGATTATGCATTAGTTTGAACATTCTTTGGCATTGCCTTTGATTTATTTGATTTATTTCAACATATTAAATAATATTTCATAGGCCCTAAATAAATGGGGGGAAAGACGATGATAAATGGGAATTTACAAAAATGTATCAGTATATGCTTTTTAAGAAATGAAGTATAGTTGATTTACAATATTATATTAGTTTCAGGGGTACAGCACAGTGATTCAGTACTTTTACAGATTATATTCAAAGTTATTACAAGATAATAGCTATAAGTCCCTGTGCTATACAAAATATTCTTGTTTCTTATCTATTTTATACATAATAGTTTCATATCTCTTAATCCCATACCACTAATCTGCCCCTTCCCCGCCTTCTTCCCTCTGCTAATCTCAAGTTTTTTCTCTGCATCCGTGAATCTGTTTCAGGTTTGCTATATACATTAATTTGTACTATTTTTTTTATATTCCACACATAAACAATACCATACAGTATTTGTGTTTTTCTCTCAGACTTACTTAACGATTAATATTCTCCAAGTCTATTCATGTACCTTCAAGTGGCAATATTCCATTCTTTTTATGAGTGAGTAATATTCCATTGTATATATATATACCACATCTTCTTAAACCAGTCATCCGTTGATGGGCATTTGGGTGCTTCCGTGTCTTGGCTATTGTAAATAATACTGCTATGAACATTGTGGTGCATATATCTTTTCATTTTAGTAATTTTTAGTGGTTTTGTTTTCTTCTTATATATTCCCAGGAGAAGAATTGCTGGATCATATGAAAGCTCTCTTTTTGGTTTTTTAAGGAACCTCCATACTGCTCTGCCAAAATGGCTGCACCAATTTACATTCCCACTCAGTGTACAAGGGTTTCCTTTTTCCATGTTCTCTCAAACATTTAGTGTTTTGATGTTTACTATTCTGACAGGTGTGAGGATATATCTCATTGTGGTTTGTATTTTTCTGATGATTAGCAATGTTTAACATCTTTTCATGTGCCTGCTGGCCATCTGTATGTCTTCTTTGGAGAAATATCTCTTTGGGTCTTCTCTCTTTTTTTAATTGGGTTGTTTTCTTGGCATTGAGTTGTATGAAGTATCTATCTCTTTTGAATATTAACCCCTCATAAGACATACCATTGGCAAATATTTTCTCCTACTCCCTATGTTCTCTTTTAGTTTTGTCAGTGGCTTCCTTTGCTGTGCAAAACCTTTTAAGTTTAATTTAATCCTGTTTATTTATTTTTGCTTTTGTTTCTTTTACCTGAGAAGACAGTTCCAAAAAATATTGCTATGATTCATGCCTATGTTTTCTTGTAGGACTTTTATGGTTTCCAGTCTTCACATTTAGGTCTTTATCTATTTTGAGTTAATTTTTGTATATGGTGTGAAGAAATGCTCTAATTTCATTGTTTTACATACAGCTCTCCATTTTCTCACACCACTAATGGAAGAGATTGTCTTTTCTCCATTGTACATTCTTGCTTTTTTCTGCCATAGATAGATTAATTGTCCATAAGTGTGTGGGCTTATTCCCGGGCTCTCTATTCTGTTTCATTGATCTATGCATCTATTTTTGTACCAGTACCTTGCTATTTTGATTACCGTAGCTTTGTAGTATAGTCTGAAGTCTGGGAGAATGGAATCTCCAGCTTTTTTTTTTTTCAAGCTTGCTTTGTCAAGTCAAGGTCTTTTGATGTTTTCATATGAATTTTAGGATTATTTTTTCTAGTTCTGTGAAAAATTTTCATGGATATTTTGATAGAGATTGCATTAAATCTGTAGATTGTTTTGGGTGGCATGGCCATTTTAACAATATTAATTCTTCCAACCCAAGTGCAAATTTTATCTTTTATTTCTTTGTATCATTTTTAATTTTCTGTATCAATGTTTTATTGTTTTCAGAGTATAGGTCTTTTCCCTCCTTGGTATTTTATTCTTTTTGATACAATTTTAAATGGGATTGATTTTTTGCTTTCTCTTTCTGAGAGTTCATTATTTGTATATAGAAAAGCAATAGATTTCTGTATATTAATCTTGTGTCCTGTGATTTTGCTTAATGCATTTATTGGTTCTGATACTTTTGGGGTAGAGTCTTTAGAATATTCTGCATAAAGTCTCATTCCATCTGCAAATAGGGACAGTTTTGTTTCTTCTGTTCCAGTGTGGATGCCTTTTATTTCTTTTTTCTTATCTGATGGCTGTGACTAGAACTTTCAGAATTATGTTAAATAGAGGTAGTGAGAGTGGATATCCTTGTCTTATTCCTAGAGTTAGAGGAAAACCTTTCTGCTTTTCACCGTTGCATATGATGTTAGCTGCAGATTTGTCATAAATGGTCTTTATTATGTTAAGATATGTTCCTTCTATACCCACTTTGATCATGAATGGAGGTTGAATTCATTACATGCTTTTTCTGCATATGTTGAGATGATCGTGTGATTTTTTGTCTTTCCTTCTGTTAATGTGGTATATCACACTGATTGATTTGTGTATTTTCAACCATTCTTGTGTCCCTGGAATAAATTTGACTTGACATGTGGTTTATGATTCTTTTATATACTGTTGGATTCAGTTTGCTAATATTTTATTGAGAAGTTTTGCATCCTATACTCATCTAAGACACTGGCATATAATTTTCTTTTTTTGGAGTGTCTTTGATTTTGGTTTCAGGATATTGGTGGCCTTTTATAACGAATGTGGGAGTGTTCTGTCCTCTTGAATATTTTTGAATAGGTTAAGAAGGATAGGTATTAGTTCTTCTCTACATGTTTGGTAGAATTCCCCATGTAGTGTAATGAATCTTAATGAATTATTTGATTTAAATAAGTTTAGATTTTTAACACCCAACTATCATTTCTTATCATTCTAAGAAATAATTAAGTAACCATATTAAATCATTGGGATGTTTTGTTTATATTCCCCTAATACAAATAAAACTAAAACTTCCCTGAAGTGTAAACTTTTCCTGAAGTTTTAGTTCACCTAAAGCCTTCCTTTTTATCTTCTAGATTTACCCCTGCACCTTATGAGATTTCTTCAGGAGAGAACATCATTGGTCAGAGATTGAGTACTAGGAGAGATGCACCTTTTGTATTGGAGGACAATGGAAGTGACCACTTGGTTTACATTCCGAGCCAGATGCTCATGCCACAGAAATTAATGACTAAATATGAAGAAGATTGGGGTTCTGAAGCAATCACAAGCCTCACATCTGGTAAGGAAATGAAAAGTTATACTGAATAACTTGATCTTCATCTTTTTAACACTAGCAGGGAATCAAACAAACAAGCAGGGTATAAAAAGCAAGTTTTTTTCAAGTTCAAGATGGTGGCTACAACTGCTGTTTTTATTTGATTTGAAGATTTAAATGGTCACAGGTACCATTCTGGAAATCACTGGTAAGCCCTAAAAAACATCCCTGATATTCTCACCAAACTTAAGATTTCTCTAGAAGCCACAATTTAAGCCACAATTTAGGTTAGTGTGACGTAGAAGGAGGCAATATAGAGAAATACCATAGCAAAGGAGGAGTTAAAATAACTTAAAAGTTGCCCTGGCCAGTGCCTCAGAATTTGTGATTGTATAAGATGGTGTAAGGTTCCTCCCTCCCACTGGAAATAAATTAAATACTCCACTGTCTACTGTATACATTTTAATGGCAAAGCAGTAATGCTTTTTGTCAGAGTTTAATAGTTTAAAACAATTCAGATACATAGAATTTTGGCCTTATTTTCTTTTTAAAGGGTGACATTCTAAAAGACTGGTCAGTTATTCCATCTATGCATCTGGAGTCTTCCAAAATGCTCATTTGGCCAGAGTGCAAACATTTAAAGCATTATATCATAAGTATCATGTGTACTGTTAGCATATGCAAGTTTAAAAGAAAAGGGTGCCAATCGCATGCCAATTATTCACAAGAATGAATAATACTAATTCTTAGTAACTCCCTTGGATAAATAAATGTTCTATTCTTTGGGCTCAACTCTCATGTCCCCATATTTCCCCTATTTCTGAAATATATAAGTTTGAATTTTACCTTTAAAAATAACTAAAATTTCCTTTATAGAAGCTAGAATTCAGAATTAAAAAGTCAATCAATCACTAGTTGAAAAATAAGACTTTTTTAAAAAGGTAATAGAGTAAAACTGCATGTACATAGTTAACAGGCATTAAGGTATTCAAGTATGTTCATTGCTTATTTAAAACAGATATTATCATTATATAGACATAGCTTAAAGAAGAGAATAAAAAATTGTTTTTCTTAATGAATGCAGTTAATTTGGTGTATTCATTCTAATGATATGGGAATTAAAACAGTTCTCAAGGCACAGGAATTTATCATGCTCAAGTTTTAAAAACAGAAAAAGGGAAATTGTCTTGGCAGTTTTTGAAATACTAAATGGTCATTTGTGATAGTATGGTTAGAGGTAAGCATTTTAAATTCTGATAATTCAAAAGCGTGAACCTTTTCAAGAAAGGCAGAAATTATTGGATACTTAAGGGGAAAAAAAAGAAACATCTTTGCAGCCATCTTTAATGAACATTGTTCAGTAATAATAGAAAGACTTTTCACTTGGTTTTTCAGATGTCTGGGAATGGAGATACTCATAAAAGTACCAGCTTAAGGTCTAATTTGGCTGAAGAAATAATTGTTGCATAGCTCTATAGGGAAAAGTGTCAATTTTCTCTTATCCCCACCTCACACAATTTCTCTTGCAGTGGGTTGAAGTGTGTTGAGAATTCCATGGAGGATTATGTCAAGTTGTAATTTCCTGGAAACAAAGCCTCAGACCTATGGATAACATATATATATATTTTTTCCTTTATGATAAATCTGAGTCTCAGATCATCAGTATTGTCTAGGGACTTTGTACTATTCTTATCTATTTTTTTCTCTTAAAATCATTGTTAGCTGGTTGTTAAAAGCTGCTAAGAACTTTCTGTATAATGTGTCATCCTCAAGGAGAATAAATTGTAGTTCAGATATTTTATTTAGTTACCAAGAGATGAGCTTTGATACATTCCAGATGTATTGCACAAATAAAAGGTTGATAACGTCCATATGCTATGCATAATACTCATTTATAATGTAATTCATGTGGTCAATAGCTAATTTTTACACTGTTGAACTGAGAGTCCTGCAGAAGTCAGGAATCTTAACCACTGAAGAATTTTTAGTTCCCAGAGTACTGCAGCTGGCAATGAGTTGTGTATCACTCTCTTTCATAAGAAACACAGCCACGGTCTCTTCACCTAGTCCTCTCCCTCTGCTGCTTCCTCGCTACTCTGGTTTCCAACTCAGCTTTAATTCCATCTTCTTTCCTGGCCAGCTCCACTCCTTCCGTTCAGTTCAGTGGCTCAGTCGTGTCCGACTCTTTGAGACCCCATGAACCACAGCACGCCAGACCTCCCTGTCCATTATCAACCCCCGGAGTCCTCCCAAACCCATGTCCATTGAGTCAGTGATGCCATCCAACCATCTCATCCTCTGTCGTCCCCTTCTCCTCCTGCCCCCAACCCCTCCCAGCATCAGGATCTTTTCCAATGAGTCAGCTCTTTGCATCAGGTGGTCAAAGTATTGGAGCTTCAGCTTCAGCATCAGTCCTTCCAATCAACACTCAGGACTGATCTCCTTCAGGATGGACTGGTTGGATCTCCTTGCAGTCCAAGGAACTCTCAAGAGTCTTCTCCAACAGCACAGTTCAAAAGCATCAATTCTTCAGCTCTCAGCTTTCTTTACAGTCCAACTCTCACATCCATAGATGACCACTGGAAAAACCATAGCCTTGACTAGATGGACCTTTGTTGACAAAGTAACGTCTCTGCTTTTTAGTATGCTGTCTAGTTTGGTCATAGCTTTTCTTCCAAAGTGCAAGCATCTTTTAATTTCATGGCTGCAGTCACCATCTGCAGTGATCTTGGAGCCCAGAAAAATAAAGCCAGCCACTGTTTCCTCTGTTTCCCCATCTATTTGCCATGAAGTGATGGGACTGGATGCCATGATCTTAGTTTTCTGAATGCTGAGCTTTAAGCCAACTTTTTCACTCTCCTCTTTCACTTTCATCATGAGGCTCTTTAGTTCTTCTTCACTTTCTGCCGTAAGGGTGGTGTCATCTGCATATCTGAGGTTATTGATATTTCTCCTGGCAATCTTGATTCCAGCTTGTACTTCTTCCAGCCCAGCATTTCTCATTAGGTACTCTGCATAGGAGTTAAATAAGTAGGTTCCTATTTGGAACCAGTCTGTTGTTCCATGTCCAGTTCTGACTGTTGCTTCCTGACCTGCATACAGGTTTCTTAAGAGGCAGGTCAGGTGGTCTGGTATTTCCATCTCTTTCAGAATTTTCCACAGTTTATTGTGATCCACACAGTCAAAGGCTTTGGCATAGTCAATAAAGCAGAAATAGGTGTTTTTTTGGAACTCTCTCGCTTTTTTGATGATCCAGTCGATGTTGGCAATTTGATCTCTGGTTCCTCTGCCTTTTCTAAAACCAGCTTGAACATCTGGAAATTCATGGTTCATGTATTCTGAAGCCTGGCTTGGACAATGTTGAGCATTACTTTACTAACATGTGAGATGAGTGCAACTGTGTGGTAGTTTGAGCATTCTTTGGCATTGCCTTTTACCGCAGCTCAAAGACAATTTGTATCAGAGTTACCTGGAAACCCTTCCTAAGCACAGATTCCTAAGCCTTTCTCAGTACTACTTCTTCATATTTACGGGTGTGTGTGTGGCTAGGAAAAAGCTACAATACAAGCTTTAGAACCACCCTAGGTGATTTCTCTAGGTACTCATTTTTGAGATCCACTATCCCAGTGATTCTCGAAGCGTATCTGTACACCATCAGTGTCAGCACCACGTGGGAACCTAGAACTGCACTCGTCCTGGGTCTGCTGAAGCAGAAACTGGGGGCTGGGGCTCGGCCCTTTGATGTTTAACAAGCAACACAGGTGATTCTCATCCAGGCTGAAGTTTAAGAACCACTGTGCATGTGACCACTTTAGCGTACCAGAGTTGCTCTGCCTTCTCAGCTAAATCAACTGAGTAACTACTGATAGTATCACAGAACAGAAGAATGCCTGTTGCTGAAGGGATCCAGGTGAACTGGTTTATAATTTTATTTAACTCACCCAAGAACACTGAACATTCATCCACCCATCTATTCATCTAACATCTATCTAATAAAACATTTTTAAGATCCAAATATGTAGAGATTATATGCATGCTATGCATGCTAAGTCGCTTCAGTTGTGTCCGACTCTCTGCGACCCTATGGACAGCAGCCCACCAGGCTCCTCTGTCCACAGGATTCTCCAGGCAAGCATATTGGAGTGGGTTGCCATTTCCTTCTCCAAGAGATTATATAGCGATACCATTACACATTTTGACCAAGACCTCCACAATATAAAAATTCCTTAGAAAATTCAGTTCCTCTTAATTACTCACCAATGGATTACACATAGTTCTTTGGAATTATGTAATGAAAAATGATGGCTTAATTCTAATTAAATTCAACTGTTGACCCAATGGTGAGCCTAGCACTTTCATTAAAGATGCTGTGTTAATTAATACTTAAGGCATGATTAGTCTACTGTCAAGATTAAACAGGGACAGGATAATTTTTCAAAATGTGGAATACCAACCCAAACTCAGCTTAGTGCTCACTCATAGCTCTAAGTGGCCCCTGGCCTTAGGACAACTTCAACTGATATTCTTTTCAATGAATTTTATTAAGTAATGAGAAGGAACACTTCCTTCTTAAAACTAGGATGGAGTTGTTCACAAGGGAATTGCCTGGATTTTGCTTTACATTTTTATTGGGTTGGACAAAAATTTCATTTGGGTTTTGCTGTAACACCCGAACAAAGTTTTTGATCAAGTCTAACTTGATCAAGTCAAGTCTAACTTGACTGTGATCTATAGTCAGCTTTTTTTTTTTAAGCCAGTGTATCTTTTTCACTTTGAATCAATAATAAGGTATTAAAGCTGGAAAGGTGTTTAGTGATTTGCTCTTGTTGTTGTTCAGTCACCAAGTCATGTCAACTTTGCGACCTCATTTAGTGGTTAGCTGTTGCAAATTCACCTGGAGGTGGTTCCACCCTACTCCACCCTAAGAGGCATATTGAGGTGTCTGGAGACACTGTTTAGTTTTCATAACTGGAAGGTGCTACTGATAGCTGGTGGGTGGAGGCCACAGACGCTGCCAAGCACCC